ACCGTTCAATACATATATAGCGGTGATAGATATATATATATATATATATATATAGTTATTCTGTTGTTGTCCTGTCAGCAATTTCTTTTATCTCTTGTAATTCTTAGTTTTGGGTTGCCTTTTCTTCAAGGGTTTGACTCGGCCCTACTTGGGTCAACCTTGCACAGGTTTGAAGTCTTTCCACTGAGTGATCCCATCTACTTTCAGCTCGCCTCTTAGAACCTACCGGGCCGAAGTTCAAGCAAGCCGAGCCATAGTGAAGATTTGCGTGCCATTGATTGGTGCGAGAGCAAAGTCAATCATGAGTGTGTCATTCACAAGAATCAAACACACCCTTTTTAAAACATGGCAACTTCAGCATTTGTTTTATTCATTTAAAATGTATAATATAGCTTTAAAATACCAACATCTAAACCAACAGTGGTACTACAGGGAGGTGTAGACATTCCCATGCTTGTTGGCTAATAGAATTTGGAGGGAGCTAGACCACATGGACCTGAAATACAGGCTCTGACCGGTGGAGGGGTGATAGCCTCCACTCGACCACAGCATTTATGAAAAGTATTGTAAACAACTGCAAACGTTTTGTGACTTTAAATTATTTACCCATTGGTGGTAAGTTTCAGCACCAAGACAGCCTGCTTAGAATGGGGCGGCATCAGTTATATGGAAAACTACAGAGACCATGTAGAGCTGAGACGGGTCAAATTCGAGCGAACAGATAGTGCTCAGACTGGACAATCACCAGTTTATGTTCGAGGACATCCTTGGATCCAACATCAACACAGCTTGATAATGTAATTTGTATGCAGAATATCTATAAAACTACAACGATGACCTATTTCTAATCCACTTTTTTGAAGGTTCTGTATAATTTTGCACATAGACATACCAGTACTTGGGTTTCTTTACCAGATTTACAAAACTCAATATTATTAATATATATAATTTAAACATAAGCAGCAGTAATGAGATTAGTTTATATTAATTTTGTCTTCATTTTTTTCCACTATGTATTTTGGTTGTGTGTTCTGTGCTGCAGCACTGTCCACACCCCTACTTCCCATGGTCTCGCTGGTAAAAAAAAAAAAAAAGAAAAAGCCCAACAAATAAAATAAAAAAAAGCAGTAATACAAACATTGCAAATCTAAAAAAAGTATAAAAAAATAATGTTTAAACTATTGATACTACAGAAATAAAACAACAAAACCAAAAAGCAAGAATAATGTCCTTATAGGTTTGTGTTATTTAATCATTCTTGCCATTTCTGAAAACTTTACCTAAATGTAAGTCAGTTTATGATCAAAAGATCTTTATTAGATATTAGTCTATTCAGTCTATTATATTTAAAACCTGCCCTAAAGAAATACACGGTTTAAAATGTTTTTGCATGCAGAAGACTCAAAAAAGGCTTTTTTAATTGATGTTCTCATTTTTCCTTAGGAAACAAAAACTTTAGGCAAAATTAAACTTTATTAATGACACTTACACCAAGTTTCTGTAAAACATTTTATTTAACGGAAAACATAAAAATACTGAATTTATAAAACAAAGTTGGTAATATCCATCATCTTTTACCCGCTTCCTTTTCGGGTCATGTTGATCGCTGTGTGAGAGGCGGGACACCCTGGACAGATCGCAAGTCCATCGCAGGGACACATAGAGACAAACGAGACAACCATTCACTCTCTCACTCACACAGACCAATCAGCGTAACATGCATGTTTTTGGTCTGTGGGAGGAAACCGGAGTACCCGGAGAAAACCCATGCATGCACGAGGAGAACATGCAAACTCCACCTGGCCAGGATTCAATACAGCGATCTTCTCGTTGAGAGCCGGCAGCTCTACCAACTGCACCACCGTACCGCGTAAAGTTGGTAATAAAGTGTCAAACGAACTCTCATATCAAAACAAACCAGACATACAGATGTAACCAAACACACATACGTGTTACAAATTTCCATATAAACAGCTACTGCGTGTTTTTAGTGTGTGAAACCAGTATGTGTGAGGTCCACATTTGCTCAACTTGTGATGGTAAGAATCAACAGTTAAGTCTGATTTTTGTTTGTTTGCCTTCTTCGTCTGGTGGCGGAAACTATTTTCTTGTTTAGTGTCTCAACAGCTCCGTCCTGTCCAGGTTCAGTTTTGATTCTTGGACCTGGAGAGTGCGGTGATCCAGTTTTGGGCTTCTTTGCAGGAGAACTCTTGTGAGCGGACGGACAGCTGTACTGGTTCAGACACACGGAGCAGAGGGGGCTGACAGGAAGACAAACCTGCTGTCCGAAACCCACAAGTAGCCAGTTGATCTCGCTCCACAGCTCCCTGCAACAAATGGACAATTAAGAGATCTGCTGGTGAAGATTATAAAGCTGAGCTAAGATACTAGGGGTGCAGTTTTCTGGCCGATCACCGATCTCTAAAAACCTGCCGACTCCGATTTTGGCCGATACCGATTTTGTTTTATAAGCGACACTGACAGGTGTTATATGGTCACAATGCACCTTCAATTTTTCAATCTTATTTTGTTGAAAAACATACCCTTGAACAATATCCTAGAAACAATACAAACTTGTTTTAACTGGCCATGAGGTAGTGCTCTGAAATAAAAATGAAGTTCAGACAATTGTTAAAACTACAAAAAAAAATCGGTAAAATCAGTTTCTCATGGAAGTATCAGCCGATCTACCATAATTAAGGAAATCGGGGCGATTTAACGACGCACCCCTACTAGATACATAGGCAGACTGCACTATCACTCCTCACAATAGGGGTTCGTTGGAACTCACAGAGAGGAGCCACTCTGGTCACACCTATCAGGAATTTCATCCATGTCACCAGTTTACTCTGTATCTGAAGACGTTTTGCTGGAAATGTCAGGAGGGTGTGGAGTTCCAGACTTTTAAATTGCATGAGGCTCTGAATGGACAGAAACTAACCTGACAGGACTGTTCATTTACACGACAACAGGCCTTGTTCTGTCAGGGGAACCCCCACAGAGATGAGAAATGCCATAGCGGGTGTGAAATCGCACGTGCACACTGCAGGCGGCTGCAGTCCAAAGTTTTTCTGCACTAACAACAGTTATAATAAAACACAGAGAGCAGAGGTTTTGTTTGTGCTGCTCACCTTTTTCAGCATATAGGAGTAAAAGCTGCAAAAGGACCGAAGGGACGTTCCAGAATTCACCAGTTTGGACACTGATCATGGAGACACTACATGTGCGATGCATACAGCTGAGCATGGCTAATCAGAGTTGTCAGATAAACAGGAAAACTTTTTTTTAAACCCTTTTCTTTTCTAACCCTTACTGTTTAGCTTGTATATTAATGATCTTTCTGAACAGTGTGCTGATGTGAATTTGCAGATGTTTGCTGATGATACTGTTGGATATTTTTATCTAGACTGGTCGTATGGTTTTGATCTGCTCAGAGATGGGATTATAATGAAATTATGACCCGGTTTTGACTGGGATAAACTGGGCCAGCAGCTCTCAGAGTCTCCCTGGGATTCAATATCCGTCAAGGAATACAGTTTAATCTGCTTGCCACATCACGTAGAAAGGCTTTTTAAGCACCGTCTTATATTTCCTAATACATCAAAACCACATAAGATCCACTGAGATCACATTTAGTCACGCCCCCTCATACACTGACAGGTTGAGCTCCCCTTCTTCGAAGGAGGAGTCTAGGACCCTATAAATGAGTAATGACACGGGACATCGGGGCTCTTCCGGTGTTATGATCGCGTCATAGAACGGAGAGGCCAGCGCTGTAAACTGTAACCTTTTCCTGCCTTGATTTTAATATGACTGATAAAACTTAATTGACGTTTTCTTGATTTATTGATATTGTGAGTTGCCACTTATTAGGGAGATTTGAGCCGGGGGGAAAGACGTGGGCTGGAGGTGGTTTCCAGGTCCGGTGACCCGCAGCCAGCTCCCGTTTTTAACAATACTGCAATCTATGTACATGCTAAAACAACTGACTTAGTATCTGCTAAACTAACAACTGCAAAGGATCACCTGTTGGCTAGATCAGTCATGTATGACTCTAAATGTAAAGACCAAATGTATGTTTTTCTAAAACCATGGTACAATCTCCTAGTACTGATATTTCCATCAAAGAGGAAAAAACTGACATAGTCACTGACTTGAAATATCTTGGGGTGACCCTTGATCCAAATTTGAATTTTAAGAAGCATGGAATATGACTAAAGTCATTAAATTCAATCTTAAAAATATTCAATATATCAGACATTGTCTCTCACTTGATGCAGTTAAAACATTCTTGCATGCCATGATTTTATCCCTTATGTCGTACTGTATCACCTGTTGGGGTCAGGCTGGTGATAGTGCAAGACCTCTTGAGTCTTTATATATGCAGACTCTAAAAGCTTTAGAGTCTAATTAGTAATTATTGTCAAATTTAAGAAGAAATGTTGGTTAATTTGTTTAGAGTGTAGTACCTTTTTTTTGACCAGCAGATGGCGGTATAAGACTGTTTGAACGGAAGGATGGATAGTGAGGGAGCGAGCAGCGTGTCTCTTTAAAAAAAATGGGAGGGAGGCCCCTTGACGTGACATGGGCTGTCTCTCTTCAGTTCTCAAAATGGCGGACGCTCATTGTGGTGTGAGCTCTTTAGCATAGCATTTGTCACACAAAGCTTTTAATAAAAAAATCAGTAAACAAGTTCTCAGCTTCTTTTTGCAGAGAAAAACATCTTTTTTCACGAAGACATGGGTTTCAACTGTGAATGTTGTAGCTTCGACAAGACAGGTTTTTTTCCAGAGGTCAGTCTGTTAGCTTAGCTCAAATGCGCAACAGAAAGAAAATACCCAAAATGACCTGCTGGTAAATGTTTCTAATTCATCATATTTAGTAGATTCACCAGTTTTGTTGATTACATTTGTACCTTGACATCAAATACTGTAGTTTGAATTTGTTTATATCAATCATCTGATAAAATTGTAACATGTTTTGTTTTTGGCATGTGAAAGAAAAAAGGGTACAAAACAATGCGACACTGACGGCAACTTTCGGAAAAAGCTGCAACAAAATCAAACGTTTCAGGTGAAACAACCTGGAAGAAGTCAGCAAAATCCAGCAGGGACTGAGTGACCCAGTCTGCAGCCAGTGATGTTTGAGTTTTAGCTAAATCAGATCTTTTGTCAATTTCTTTGTTATTTTTAATCAAGTGATATGGACACGATTCTATCGTTCAGACTCCTACCTGGGCAACCAGTCCTCCAGGGCCTTACGCGTGTCTTCTGGATTCTTGGTTGGTTTCTTGAGCCAGCCCAGCCTGTTAGAGATCCGATGCACGTGGGTGTCCACACCTAAACAGAAATCAACACATGCAGCCTCATACCACAGCCCTGCAAGAGGATTTAATTTAAATATATGATGTATTTTAGAATTTAGTTTAAGGTGCTGCAAAAAATATAATCTACTGTGTATACAGCACATTCAATTCAATACAATTCAATTCAAAAATACTTTATTAATCCCAAAGGGAAATAAGTGTTGTCATAGCTCATCATCCTGGTTTCATTCAAGAGTTGTTATAGATGCTGATAGTTGTGGGTAGGAAGGATCTCCTGCAGCGAATTTGAAGAATCTGGCCACAGATACAATCCTTCCACCTGGATCCAGCTTGCTGTCAGATCCGGCGGGCCTCTCGATCCTCCTGGGCAGCAGAACTGCCCGAATGCTGAGCAGAATTCCTCCCCGAGTGATGGTCACTGCTCCCATGAGTCTGCCGAGATCCTTGTCACCACGGACAGACAACTGAAGGTGCCGGGGGATGATCCCGGTCCTCCCGTTGTCACAAACTGAGATTCCCACCAGCTCCAGGATCTCGGCGGTCAGGTACTTGAGCATCGCTGACATGTTGACGGGAATTCGTCCATGGTGCCTCCTTTTCAACTCTTTTGGGATTTGGGGATCTAGTTAAGGTATGTGAACTTTTGATATGTTAATCAGCTGCTCCGGGTTGTTATAAAACACATTGTTGCCATGGTTACGCATCATAACAAACGGCCAAAAAAAAATCCTTCCAGCTGCACAGCATCCGATACCAGAGGAAGTAATCATCCAAAAAACGCGATTTACATCCAGAAAAAAGAGGAATTAAAGTTTTCAAAAGCAACAACTCAGAATGAAAGTAACAGCGCTGCTCCAACATGCAGCCACCCTGAGCGGAGCAATTCTAGAACTGTAGTAGCACACATACTTTGGTATTTGAATCTTGCTCAGTCTTGGATTGGACTTGTTTTCTTCTATTTTGTACTGCGTCCTGAGTTGTTGTGAACTGGTGCAATATAAATGAAACTAATTCAAATTAAGTTCCTACCGATTCCAGATACTTGGTTCCAGGCAATGTCCATTGCCAAGTGAGCCATTTTAGGCCCAACTCCGGCCAGGCGGACCAGCCCCTCCACAGTATTTGGGATATCTCCTCCAAACTCTTCCTGCAGCATGGCTGATGTTTGCTTCAGGTATCTCACCTTACTCTAGAGAGGAGGCGCAACAGCGAAGGTTAACTAGATGGTTTTTTAAAGTAAATAGTAAAAATGAGGAAAGTCAGAAAACCCATTGGTGTTACCCTCCAGAAACCAACAGGATAAATGAGTTCTCCCAGCTTTTTATCATCAGTGTTGAGGACATTCTCCACAGTGCAGCCATGTGCTCGGAGCTTCTGCATAGCGGCTGCTGTCACTTGATCTTTTGTTTGACTGGACAGCATGAGGGACACCAACACTTGGAAACGTCTTACCTGTGGAGACATCAGAAGGATTAAATGGACACATGAACCACACTGAATTTATATAAAAATTTAAAAAATACAAACCCCACCCACATGTGCGGGGGCTTCTGCATCGTAGCATTTCTCTGCACCCAAGTTGTCCACAGGAGCACTGCGACCGCTCCTCATGTTACGAATAAAATCTAACTGCTTCTTCCAGTCTGGAGGTTCCCATTCCTCCCTCTTTACCCCAGAAGCAACATCCTCTTTCTCATACTCCAGCTGAACCTGTCTCCTCCTACGTCTGGATGGGTACTGCGAGGAAGCTTCCGGTTCTGCTTTTGGCTGCACAGTGGACGGCTGAAGCAGTTTATGACAATCAGCTAAAACAAGGAAACACGACAGAATGGTAAATTTGCAATAAAAACATATAAACAATAATGTGAATGCTGATGACACATTCACATTATTGACACATAATCTAAAGCCTGAATGAAAAAAAAGTTACAGAAATATTTTTAGTTTCTGTAATTACCTCCATGTCCTCTCAACTGCATCCATATATCTCCTCTTTGTCTTTTTCCTGGCAGCTGCATTTCTAACATCCTTCTACCAATATACCCACTGTCCCTCCTCTGGACATGTCCAAACCATCTCAGTCTGGTCTCTCTAACTTTATCTCCCAGTTGGTGAACCTGTGCTGTACCTCTGATGATCTCATTCCTTGTCACTCCTAAGGAGAACCTCCACATCTTCATTTCTGCCACTTCCAGTTCTTTCTCCTGTCTTTTTGTCCCATGTCTCTGTCTCCAGACCATACAACATAGCTGGTCTGGTTGTAAACTTTTCCTTTGACCTCTGTTGCCACCCTTTTGTCGCAAATCACTCCTGAAACTTTTCTCTATTCATTCCATCCCGTCTGGACTCTCTTCTTCACCACTTCACCACACTCTTACTACGTCTTACTACGGCTGACTTTCATTCCTCTTCTTTCAAGTGCATACCTCCACCTCTCCAAGTATGTGCAATGCTTAGTAGAGGAGTTAAATTATTAAATCATGTCAATAATATCAGTGTCTGCAGTGAACTTGCAGCATAACGTGAACATACCGCTTAATGAAGGGGCAGTGAAGGGTTCCTTTTGTTCTGACACCTTCACCTCCTCCACCTCCACCTTCACTGCCACCGAGGGAGCCGCGTTCACGTCCATCTGTCTGCCAGTTAGTTTGGATCTAAGAGAGGCGGCAGGTGTGCTGCCTGAACGTTGACCGCTGCCACTCCGGGTGGTAACGGACCTGCTTTGAGTGAAGTACGGAGAACTCATCGTCATCAAACTCCGAACCGCAGAACGGAGCGTCGCGTGCGCCACAGCGAACGTTACGAAGCACAATAACAAGGAGCTGAACTCAGGAGGGGAGCGCAAACTTCTGCAAGACATGAGCAAAAACATAAACATGCAAAAAGTGTAATTAGTTCAGCGTTTAAAACATTTGACTAACGCCAATGAAATAACTATGAGATTATAGACAACAAAAAATTCAATTCTGGATATTGAATGAAACTGAACTAAAAAACTGCAAGAAATCAAAAAACTTGTATATTTATGTAACAGTTGTTTGACTTTAAAAGTTACTTTTTAAATCAGTGGGAATATAAGTTTACAGTTTAAATGTTTTTGTATTATTATTGACAAGCCACAGATCTGAAAGTTTATGTACATATAAAAATACAATACTTTTACTCTGTTTCAGTTTTCTATAGTTTAATTGCACATTAAATGCATTTGTTTAAAAATCTTTACCTTTTTCTTAGTTAGACCTATAAACATATCGATATCTCTGCAAAAATACATTTAAAGTTAATTTAATTACATACATGTGAATATTGTGTATTATTTGAAAAATTATATACTCAAAGTTTCCTTCTTTGTCACAGCTTTTCCATGCATTACACCCATTAAACCACCTGTGTTTTATCTTTATTTTAACCAAAATACTGGTCTCTACTGTTGTTTTATTTTTTTATTTTAAGTATATTGCTGTTATTTCCTTTATGTTTTATGTTTAACACTTTGACCAACAGCAGTTCTCTTTAAATGTACTTTATGAATAAAATTGACTTATGTATTTAAGACACTAAGTTTCACCTTTCTGATGTAGTTCTATATTATATTTTTATTTCTTCTCATTTTAGATGTAGTAGAAAAAAATATATTACTGGTTGGTCCGTGCATGCGTGGCTTTTCGCCAAGTACTCCGGTTTCCTCCCATGGACCAAAAACATGCATGTTAACTCTAAATTGTCCCTAGGTGTGAGTGAGAGTTAATGGTTGTTTGTGTCGCTGTGATGAACTGGAGACCTGTCCAAGGTGCAGTGACTCGCACCAGTGACCCCTGTGACCTGGAAAGGAAGAATCAGGTAAAGGATGGATGGATTGTGGCCGCCAAAGAGACATTTTAATAAATGAAAACAATAAAGGTTGATGCTAAATGCTAAATAAAACATTTCACACACGTGCAAAAATTAGTTTTTGGTAAAAAGCGCAAACAGATAAAAACTGAAACGAAATTTTCTTTGCGGTTTTCTAAAATGTTCAGTTTTGTAGAATACCTTGTGATATGGGCTATATTTTTAAATTTGAATGTGCAGGTTAAATGAGTCACAATGATAATTTTTTCTGTATTCTTATTATTATTATTATAAAATTCTCCTCAAAAGTTTAAAAAAATGACACAAAGATTGTTGAAATTGTCAATTTATCACCTGGTCTGGCAACAAGTTGGTTTTGTTTGATTGTTAGTTTGAAAGATTTTTATTTACATGTCATCAGAACTCCAGCCATATATTTAAAAAGGGGAATACATGTTCCCAAGCTTCATAGAGCGCCAAACATTATATGAAGGGATTTCCCGGCACTACAACGGCTAACAAAGAAAAAAAGGTAAATTTCGACGTACATTTTAAGGGCTGTAAGACATTTGATTATTTCTGAAGTCATATAAATAAGAACATTTGTATTTACAGATAAAATAGGGTGATTATATGCTGTTTTAGTGGGATCGCCAGATGGTGTTTTTGTTTATGGACTCATTTAAACGAAAATCTCAATCACTGTTAATTGTACAGTATTTTCACTAATTTGGCACTACTGTAACCCGTGCCTGTTCTGTCTGATTTAACCAGCAGGGGTCACGTTTGTTGTTGTGTTGTTCCACTTCAGCCATAGCCTAAAAAGCCTCTCCAAGCAACTTCTAATACGATAAAAAAAACAACTTAAATAGCGTTAGCATGCTAATGTAGCTGCTAGCCTAACTGCTGATGCCAGTAGGCAAGAAGTTCATATTAAAAAAAAAAAAACTTTTCGACGTTAAAAAAACTCCTTAGAAATTATAACATTTTGCTTACTCGTCTGGAGGTCTGGTTAGCTTCTTTCAAACTAGCCGAAACATATTTGAGCATTTTTCCTGTTTGTTGAGAACACCATTTCCCATGAACGACTGCGGCAAGCGTTTTTTTTTTTTTTTTTTAAACAGGAAGTGTCGCTATCGCAGCGTCAGCGTGCCATCCGGTTGGGGAGTGGAGCTCCGAAAACAAGCTTCTCGGCAACAAATGCGAAGTTGAATCAATGCAAAGACGCACGCGACTTCAGTGGATGCAAAAAGAACGAAGCCGTGAATACATGAAACCGGAAGCGACCCAACTCCGATAAGGTGAGAAGAAGAATGGAAAGGATGTGGTTTAAATACCCCCAAACCTTCGGAGCAACGTCGCTAGCCTACGTGCGAGGCAATGCAACCGTAGATAAGGCTTTTAGCAACACCACTGTGCGTTTCTTTGAATAATGGTTTGCTTTTGGTGCCTCTAGTTATGAATTGTTCTGGTCGGTGGGCACCTTTCGCATACGTTCTGGTTGTTGTTGGACTGAAACAGGACAGTCGTTGTCTAAACTGCTCGTGTCCCCTCCCATCTGTCTCTGGCAAGTCCACATGACAGCAGATTCTTGAAACCAGCCCCCTGGGTTTACACATTAACAGGCTGCTGCCAAGCTTCACTCCAGTTACATTTAATGTTTACCTAAACTGCATTAAGTGTTTTGAATTTCTCCAACTGTTTTAAATAACCCCCCCGTGTTGCAATCTTTCTGACTTTAATAACCTACTCTGCTCTTGTGTCAGCATGGATCCAATTCATATATTGATTGCATCATAATTGTACAATTCTATAACAAAAGACAGGTTTTTTTTTTCCACATAATTATGTTTACTTTTTTTTTTTTCACAATTAGTAGATTTTTACCCTTCTAATCATTCAAATACAGAGAAACTCCAAGATGTAGCTGGGTTTATTAATTTTCTTTCCAAGAAGGATGATAAATCTATGTGAAGCACCAAATGTGATTTGATAAACATGTTTTTATTTTCTAGGCAGCCATTCGTCCTGTGGCCATGAATAAACAACAAAATAAGGCATCTCTGAAGGACAAGGTGAAGGGGATCTTTGGAATCGCTTCTCCCCAGACACCGATCAGACCGTGCGACCCCAAGCTGCCAGAGTTCATTATAACTACTGAAATTATTAAGGTGAAAATCCGCTCATTTCCTGTCCCTTTTCTTACACATTCCCACTTTGTTGATGCATTTCTGCACAAGAATTGCTACATTGTATGATGACAAAAGCAGCTGCTCATAAATAAAATTGTTATGAAGTCCTTTGTAAATATAGCAGCTGTTTTGTCTCTTGAAAGTCAAATTCATACGTATAAATATGGTATAGACTGTATTTATAAAGCGCCTTTCTATCTAATCAAGATACTCAATGTGGTTTACAACTCAATCTGTGCCCATTCATACAGCACTCTACTATATTTCTACAAAGCTAATCTGAACAAATCATTATTTAGAGACTAATCAGTGCTTTAGATCACACACATCAGAGGCAGTGAGGGGTTTCATTATCTTGCCCAGGGACATTTCAACATGTGACTGACTGCATAGTGGTGGAATTGAACCCCCAACTCTCCCATTGGAGGACGTCTGCTCTAACCATTCAGCCACAGCTGCCTCAATATGAGTTCTTTGTGGCTGTTTCAGAAAGGCAGCCTCACTAATGATTTAAGTAATAATAATAATATTGGCTGTGCTTCATATTTCAAGACAGAAAATATTTTATATAAAACATGTTTTTAGCTTGTTGGTCTTTTTTTTTATGGTGACCACAGCAAAGACAGACAGGAGTGAGATGGTGTCACAAAATCAAAACTACATTATGTATAATTTCCTGAAACATTTTCCTTCCATTGGTTTTGAAACGTGTAGTCTTGGATCAATGTTGAAATTTAATTCTTGTAATTATTGCTGATGTTGTTGGTAGGAATAAATACCAGAACAGATAGTTAAGAAAAAAAAGACACATGGGAGCGTTTTGGCAAAACTCCTTTGTTTTTTGTTATTGATCTTTGGGTAAACCAAGCATACAAAAATATGATGCTTGAAGATTTACGTAATAAATATATATTTTTAAGAGGAGTCTAAAGTTGGTATCTCATTGCACTGTGGCTGAAACAAGCTGGTGTCTGAAAATTGTGAGAAAATGGGTAATTTTGTTGCAGTCTCACTTAATTCTGAGTAGACAGCAAGCAGTTTTTAGTGACCATTTTTTGAAAATCATGGCTTAATGGTATTCAAAGCTGCATTCAAGCCCATTACGTCATTGTCCACCCACACTGTACCCACCTCGGCCTGCTTTGTACCCACCTCGACAACCTCCCCCATGTTTATAATTGAATCTCCAGCTCTCTTTAGACGGGTTGGAGACGCTTGCAACACTTCTGTGACTATTTTGACAGAAAATTTGTCCCACAAATGCTTTTGAACCCGTTCGAAACACAAGCAACAGTGCTGCGAGCCTCTGAGACTCGTAAAGAGATTCAGAACTCCTGCAGACATTTCTGGGACATTTTGGAGAGTCCTTTGCGAAAGCAGTCTATCATCTAGTTGCTGTAAGACGCATCTCATTTACTTAAGCTCACCGCTGCATTTGAATAAATTAATTTCGTTTCAAGACCGTCTGAAGTTGCAAATGTGTTTCTGTATGAGTTTGTCACAAAGTCAAGGTGTGTCGTGGCCGGATTGTAAACGTTCTCCTAATATATTGGGATTTAATTATTTACTCTTTATGGTTTGCAGGATCTCCACCCAGATAACGGCCTGAACAACCGGATGCGAGTCATCAGCCAAATTTGCGATCTTGCAAAAATGAAAAAATTTGAGGAGGTGATTGAATACTGTTTGTCCGTTTTTATATTCCTTATCATTTAGTAGCACGTCCAGTCTTCTGTATTCATTAAACTCGTTGGCTTCGTGTTGCTCAGAATGCCGTGGAGGCTGTGTGGAAAGCTGTGGAGGACATGCTAACTCCAGAGCAGCCGCCAGAAGCTAGACACGCTGTCCTGCAGCTCCTTAGGGCCATTATACAGGGACAGGTACTCCCAACATATGGTTCACAATAAGCAGCGCATGCGAACTGTTCAGATGTGTAATTTTAAGTGTTATTTATCTGAAGGGTGAGTGGCTCGGGCCTTTGAGGGCTTACTTTTTCAAGGTGATCGGAGACTACCAACCATGCAACGAGGACCTTTCAGAAAGACTGGAAGTGTTCAAGGCTTTAACTGAAAACGGGAAGGACATCACGTACCTGGAGGAGGACATAGGTAAAACATTCAAACCCCCCAAAATCTTTGCTTTAGAACTGAAGTGTAAAAATGACAGGTTTTAGAGGTGGGCTTGAGGAATCCTTAGATTCACCAAACTACAACAATGCAGTAAACTCGTCATAAAATATGACTTCAACACAAAAATGCTGCACGGCTGCACTTATGATTCTGCCTTACTGCAATTAATTTGTTTCAAACCATTATTATCAGTAATCATTTTAAAATAAACCTTGTGTTGACCTTTTTTTCTTTTATCATTTTGTCACAGCAGATGTTCTTTAGAGCTTTAGTAAAATGCACTTGTTAATTTTCTTAATTTACTGCCCTCAAGTTAGATCAACCTAAATTTAGTTACCACACCACTTTATTTAAAGCACTTAAAACAGCTGTAAGGCCAACCAAAGTGCTGTACAACAAAAACAAACAAGCAAAGAACACGGGATAAAATACATAGATCCAAATAGGTAAAGATAAGAACTAAATGATTAACATTATAGAATACAGACATGTTAAAATCAACTCACTCGGTGTCAAAAGCCAGGGAGTAAAAGTGAGTTTTTAAACAAGACTTAAAAACAGTGAGAGAGCGAGCCTGCCTGACATGCAGTGGTAACTCATTCCACAGTTTTGGACCTGCAACAGAGAAGGTGTCACCTCTGAGCTTAAAACAAGTGCCTGGAACCAATAAAAGCATCTGGTCTGCTGACCTCAGCAAGCGCTGTGGGATATGGCTGCAGCAGATCGGCGAGATAGGAGGGGGCAGAACTGTTGAGAGATTTAAAAACGTGCAGAAGGATTTTAAAATTAATTTGAAAGTGAGCCAGTGAAGGGAGACCACAACTGGAATAATGTGCTCTCTTTTTGCCTGTACCAGTATAAAATCGGGCTGCAGCATTTTGGACCAGTTGTAAACGCGCTGGAGGTCTGACTGATTCTGATAAACTTGATCTGACACAGCTCGTATTTCATTTTCTCTCTCTAGTTACTTTGGTACTTGTTTCTAATTTAAGTTTAGTGTTCCTAGAAGCAGTGATCTGTGATTTGTGTTTTCCTAATCATGATGATGATTATCCGATCAGTCGTATCCGGCTTTCGGTCACTTTATGAATCTTCGAACTCCATGCCTCCCTGTCTTTCACCAATTTTTTCAATTCCGCAATTGGCATATTCATTGTTGTCGTTATTGTGTCGAGCCATCTCGTTCTTTGGCGGCCTTGTCTTCTTTTTCCACTGACTTTTCCAAGCATCATTGACGTTTCCAAAGAATTTGCACGCATCACGTGACCAAAATAAGAGAGCTGCTGTTTGGTAATTTTGCCCAGTAAGGACATTGATGGTTTGACCCGGTCCAAAACTGTCTTGTTCGTCATCATAGCAGTCCAAGGTATTCTTAGCATTCTTCTCCAGCACCACAGTTCGAAAGCTTCGACTTTTCTTTTCTCTTCTTTCCTAAGCGTCCAACTTTCGCAGCCATACATCATTATGGGGAAGACAATTGCGTTGACTAGTCTTACTTTAGTTACAAGGTTAACAAGGTTCCTAATCATACACCGGGTTAAAAAATAAACTGCTCTTTTTTTTAAGTTCAAGTGAAAAATATTTTCTATTGTTGTTGTTTTTTCTTTCTCAGCACGTTTTGTTCTCCTGTGGATGGACATTGGTCTTACCTCTGACTTCCTCCATGTTCTTGTGAATCTGGTAAAGTTCAACAGCTGCTACCTGGATCAAAACGTGTCCATCATGGTCCAGTAAGTTGGACAGCTACACGTGCACACACTCAGTTCCATGCCTCTCGTACCCACTGTCTGTACGTTCAGCAGATGTCAGTGTCTTATACTGATTGGACACGCCTGAAATGTGGATACAAACCACACTTCTGGGGATTACTTGTTTGTTTTTAGTGCAGATTGTCATTCTTTTGTCACATGTGTGAACCTGCTGTGTCCTCTGTAGGAAAATCTGTCTGCTGTGCAACAGAACAACATCGTCTACAGACATAGAGGTTGGTGTTTGTCATCATATACTTGCTTAAAAAACTCATTGAATTTCTGATATTTTAGTGTTATTAGAGTGCCGATTTTGTTTGTGCATCATTTCTAAGTGTTGACATAACTAATTTCCAGTTTTCTGCTGCTTTTGAAGCTTCCCTATTAGGTTCATGGTTATGCAACTAAGCCTGAAATGTTTTCTGTTCATAAATTCAAGAATAAATATATTTAAATACCTATACTGTATATAAATACATTAGTTTTCTTCATATTCAGCTTCATGCTGTGCAGCTAGAGTTGATGTATTTGATGCAGAGGTTATGATCTGCATGTTGTTGTGTTTGGTTGGTTGTTAGGTGGCTCTTCAGGTCTTGGATGCTGTTGTGTGCTACAACTGCCTTCCCTCAGAGTCCCTCACAATTTTTATTATAACACTCTGCCGTACGGTTAACGTAAAGGAGTTTTGTGAATCCTGCTGGAAGGTGAGAATGGAATTCTCCTTAAAAAAAAAAAAAAAAAAAGAACTACAAAGCTTCCTGTTCTGGTGTTTTCTCATGTATCATTATTGTGTTCTGTGTCATTAGTTGATGAGGAAGGTTTTGGGAACTCATCTCGGCCACAGTGCTATTTACACCATGTGCCGCATCATGGAGGAGAGGTAATTTACAAAAATTGCTTTGGAGGTGGAGTAGCTCTACAGCTTGTGTGATTAATCAAATTCTGCACCAGAATGTACATGGAGGATGCCCCACTGCTGAGAGGAGCGGTATTCTTCGTTGGAATGGCACTGTGGGGTGCACACAGACTCCCTGCCCTGAAAAACACACCAACGCTTGTTCTGCCGTCTTTCTATAAGGTAACACCCATCCATATATACAGTTTTACCTTGAGGCAATCACAATTACAGCCAATATTTACAAATTCTTTGACATTCAGAGGAATTATAGCGTTGTAAACATAAAATCCTCTTTGAAACTTTGACGACTATTTAGATCAAAATGATATCTTAAATTTCCATTTTAACAGACAAGGAAAATACAACATTTTGAACCTTAATGTAGCATAAAATTGTGTTTTAACTATAAAACAGCATAACTTTCTCTGCGAGTTGTTTTGAAAATCAAGTTCAAGTCAGTTTTATTGTCCTTCTCATCACGTGGTACATGAGATGGAACGAAATTATGTGCTCAGGGTCCCAGTTACACCCAACAATAGCAAAAATATAAAGTGTAAAAAGCAACGGTGTACAGTAGTCCCTCGCTACTTCGCGGTTCGTTTATCGCAGATTCGCTCTATCGCGGTTTTTCTAAAGATTAGACATGACACACATTTGGCATACGTTGACTCTGTTCAGTTTTCTAACACCTGCGTTCATTTTTAGTGGCATTTAGACCTTTCATGACAAGGAAAAAGATGATCTGTTTTTCACTAATTGTCCATGCTGCACAGTTTGTGGCATAAACTTGATGCTTTTATTTGTTCCTTGTAATAAAAATATTTTTATATAGTTCATTTGTTGTTATGGCCACGGCTTTAAATATGAGATTAAAAACGGAATACAAAGAAAAGAGTTCTCACTGAATCCACTAAGCAGTGACTTCTGTTTTTAGGCTATGTCGTGTGCCAACGAGGTAGTGTCCTATGAAATCGTCCTCTCCATCACCAGACTGATTAAGAAGTACGGCAAAGAGCTGCAGGTGGTCACATGGGACATCCTGCTGGGCATCATAGAGCAACTGCTGCAGCAGATCCAGGTACACGCATACATGCTCATTAAAAAATAAAGGACACAGCTCTTCACTGACCAAAGTGCTTATCTTTTGTGTTATTGCAGACGATAGGCAGCGCAGAGCTGAAGGCCATTGTCTATGAACTCTTGACTACGGTTGAAGAGCTGTACGAGCAGAACGGTTACCACGGCTCCACAGAGAAGTTCTTCAGTTTGGTGGAAAAATGTGCCGACAAGAGACCTGTTCGTGTTTTTGAGTAGCTGTCTGAGTTGTCCTGGTTTGTATAGACAGTGCAGCTTCTTTTCTCATTTTAATGTCGTGTGTGACAGGATGCATCCGTGCTGACCCTCATCTCATACCGAGCGCAGTCGATCCAGCCGGCCAAGGACGGCTGGATCCAGAGCCTTCACCGCCTCATGGAGAAATTCTTTAAGTAGGATATACTCTATTATAAACTGAATCTGTGGGTTTTTTTTTCATCTTTGATCCTTGATACTTCTGCTGTTTAATATTTTTCTTCTTGTTATCTCTGTGTGACTGAAAGGAACGAGACTCGCAGCGTGATACGGATCAAAGTGCTTCATATCCTGTCCTTCGTTCTCAGCACCAACCGACAGCTTTATGAGGTTTGTGACCTCATCACGCTCTTGCACACGCGCTTACATCTTCATCTTTTGTAACTCCAGTACGCTGAACGTATGAGCTCTAGTTCTTTAAAAAGCTCCTGTTCCATCTTCATCAAGTAGTTAAAAATGAGTTTCTGCGTTTTGATATGTGAGAAAGTCGGAGCTCTGCTGAAAGGCTGTTTTAACGTAATTACATTGAATTTGATTTGATTGTTGGTTTTTCCTTTTCTTTTTAGGATGAGCTGATTGAAATGGTTGTGATCCCTCAGCTCAGTGGGATAGCTGAAGACCGGGATCTGGCTGTCAGAAAACAGGCCACCCAGCTTCTGGTGGACCTCGCTGAGGGTTGTAACACTCCTCACTTCACCAGCCTCCTGGACATCATTGAGCGAGTACAGAAAATAACCTCACCAAAACACTCGCAACCATTAAACTCTTCATTTCAGATTGGCATACTTTACTATTTGCTTTTGTTTTCTAGGTGGCCAGTCGTTCTCTGGTTTGTTCAGGGGCCCTGGAGGTTTCTGAGAGAGACCTCACAGCTGAGTCTCCTATGGAGGATGTCAAGACTGCTGTACTGGGTCTGCTGGAAATCCTGCAGGTACACTCACGTCATGTAGATATACAGTGACTGATTTACCAAGGTGACTTTTGAATACCGTATTTTTCGGACTATAAGACGCACTTAAAATCCTTTACTTTTCTCAAAAATCGACAGTGAGCCTTATAATCAGGTGCACATTATGTATTAATTCTGGTTGTGCTTACTGATCTCAAACTGATTTTATGTGATACACAGCGCTCAAAAATCTGTCCAAATGAACTTGTTTTGCTTAATGCGCCTTATAGTCTGAAAACTATGGTACATTAGAAGTTTCTTTTTTAATTGCAAGTTTGAGAAATAGGCTTCTGGGTGCATCCATGAATGTCTGTTGTGCTTGTCTTTTTGTTTGGCTGACTTGTACTCACTTAACCAGCTTAAATAATTGACTCCAGGCTGCACAATATATTGAACTGCAACATTATTTTAATATTATTGTGCTCTATATCAGTGTGGCAAAGTGCTGCTTTAACAGCAATAAACCATAGGCTATTATATTCTAAGTCTCATGCATTTTTGCTCCACAAAATTTTAAAACACACATTTTAAAATCAATGTATGGGCCTTTTAGAATCGGTTCAGAATCGCCAGGACTAAGAATCTAGATTCTTTAATAAATCACTTTTTATTCTGCACCCCTAAAACAAGCCAACGAGTCCAACAAGCAAGTTTCCGGTAAATTCACCTCTGTTAGCTGTAGAGGAGCAACAGATAGTTGTCAAAAGCCTAGAGGGCCCTCCCACGACTGCAAATAGTAATGTTTACTCTTTGGTTCATGTCGGTATGAATGAAAATTTAACGCGTCAGTGAAAAATTGTATCATGATTAGAATAAAAACGTATTTAAGTCACTTCGGACTATAAGTCGCAGGACTGGCCAAACTATGAAAAAAAAGTGTGACTTATAGTCCGGAAAATCCGGTGCATACTGCCGCCCTTTCTGTGCTGAACAGTTATGCTGTGCATGTTGTGTCGTAGTCAGAGGTTGAATCTTGTGTTTGCAATGTATTTGTTTTATTTATTACCAACATGCTTACATTTACACTAAACAGTCTCTTTGGCGCTGATTGTTTTGCAACATTGTTGAAGAGGCGTGGACTAGACACGGAAAAAAACACGATGTTAAATTCTCTGAATGTTTTTTTTAATTCCATTTGGAAACCTCTGCTACAACCTAAATTATAATTAAAGGGTAACAATATCGCTTGGATTTGCCAAAGTCTGTCCAGAGTCCGAATTGGATGTTCATCCTGGGAATTAGATTTTAGAACGATGAAAAGTTTTCAGGGTGGAAAAGATGTTTTCGTTTTCAGTTGCTGTGTTTTCGTAGGTACGGCTTTTTGTATTCGTGATCCAGTTTGTGAGGAAAATGATAGGAAACAGATATTTTCTGCTGACCTGAGTTTTATTTTTGGATGTTTTTGTATCTATATTAAAACGCTGAATGTGTCAACCTCTTTCATTTTCCTTGCAACAGAGCAAACTTTACAGCCTCCCAGCCAGCCATGCAAGTCGCGTCTATGAGCTGCTTATCAGCCACCTGCAGCTCCACTACAAGAACAAATACTGTTCAACCATCGCTTCTGCCATTAGACTACAGGTAACGCCTGTTTTATTAAAACCTTTGGTGTTTTTTCGTACTTTCTATTCTCTGAACTTTTACGCTTAAACTTGTGCTGCATGTGTTTTCTTTGACTTCTCCTTCAGGTGTTTGACTTCTTCCTGATGATGCGTGCCGACTCGCTGCACCGCATCGGCGTTCCCAACAAGAACGGAGTGATGCGATTCAGTCCGTACTGCTACTGTGACACGGGGTGAAAACACAGATGCTTGACTTCCTGGCGGCCGATGGTTATTGAACTCGCCCAACGACGCCGTAACTGTACGTCTGTGTAATTTATTCCAGGGAACCAGAGAAGCGCGTTTGTGAAAAGAAGCCGACAGGTTCGACATCTCCTCCTGCTGGTAGTCCTGCTCCTCCTGCTGCTCCTCCAGCTTCAACAGCCTCCATACGCTCCGCTTACCTCCCCTATGCTCCTGCCTTCAGCGTCCTGCTGCAGTGCCTCAAAATGGTACGCACACAATAACATCCCATCACAGAACAAAACGCAAGAATGTAAAATATTTTTTATAACATGAAATGATTGAACTTTAGCCATGAAGAAAAATTGAACTTCTTGGGACTTTTGGACAGATAAATGTTATATATTTAAGTAATATTTAATAATACAGGTGGGATATACTTAACACCACAAGGAAATGCACACTGAATATAATATTTTACCTACGGATGTAACATTTGGATCTAAGTTTCAGAAGTTAATATTGCAGTTCTGTTGAATATACATATATTGGTTAAAAAAAAGGTTTCATTTCTTCATTTCTTTATTTGGGCCAGTTTATAAATTCATAAACAAAAATTATAACAAAGATTTAAATTGTGCTGCCAATCTGAAAACCCATCACAATATTTCGCCACGTTTCTTGTTCCTTTCAGGCGCATGACCTCACGTCCTCAACTGCTCTCACATGATCAGAGTCAGAGTTTCTTTATTTGTCATGCGCACCACATGTGGTGCATGTGGTGGAATGAAATTGTGTACTCAGGGTCCCAGTTACATCCAGCAATAAAATGTAGAAGAAAAACAGTAATAAGATCATTAACTAAAAGTACGCTAAGCACTAAAAGCATAAAAGCAATTCGCCGAACAGCAGCACGTATTATGATGCAATAATTGATAGGTGTTTTTTTCATACAACCTTTTAAGGACACTTTTTTTAATGTACTATCTCACAGGGCTGTTCCTTTTGGTGGCTAGTTGGTAAACTGTATTCAGGAGGGAGTCACCAATTTGTTTTTAATGCATTTGCTACTATTTGCAATTTTCTCCTGTGTCCGTTGAAGTTTAAACGTTGAAAATATCTTGTTTAATAAATTGATTCTGAAAATATTCACATTCTTGTCATGGACGTCTCCAACTCCTTTAAAGAGTACAAGAACTGTTTTCCGGAGCTCTCTGATAGAAAACATTCAAGGTCGTTGCCCCGATCTTAAAAACTACACTTTCTGCTAATTTCAGCTTGTTTTGCTGATTTCTGCTAGTTTCAGTATTTTATACTATTTCAGCTACAATTTAGCTGTTTTTATTCTGATAGCCTTTTCAGCTAATTCCACATTTTTTGATCTCCTTTCAAGTTTATTCAGCCAAATTCAGCAAAAATGTGCTCTCTTCACTTCCTTGTAATTTCAGCTTGTTTCTGCTTTTTAGCTGTTTTTTTAATTTTTTACAAATTTCATATTTTTTTCAGATAATTTCCACTTTTTTGTTCTAATTTCTGCTTCTTTCAGCAAACGCGTTCTTCTTTCTTCTGCTCATTTAAGCTTGTTCTAACTTTTCAGCTATTTTTCAACTATTTTTTTTTTGTTGCTAAACCCAGTTTTTTATTTTTTAGCTAATTCACTAATTTTTGTGCTAATTTCTTCTTCTTTAAACCTAATTCAGCAAATATGTGTTCTTTCTGATTTCTTCTGCTAACTTGGGCTTGCTCTTCCATTTCAGCTACATTGCAGCATATTTTTTAGCAAATTTCAGCTGTTTTTCAGCAATTTGTTTCAGCAATATGCATTCACACTGCATTTTTGCAAGAAATGCAATTTTTCTAGTTATTATTATCATTATTATTATTATTATTATTTTTAGGAGACAGATTGGAAGGTGCTGAAACTTGTTCTCGACAAGCTGCCTTGGATGCTGCAGTTCAAAGTCCTGCTGCTCACGTCTCCGTGCAGTTTGGACCAGCTCTGTTCCACTCTGTGTCTTATGGTATGGCTTCTTTATGCACATGTATATAAAAAAACGTGACATTTAGTGATGGTGCGGTGGCTAATCATTAGCTTCTCTTTCCAGGTGACGGATCGTTTGATCTCTGAGCGCTTGAAAAAGACCCCAGAGGGCTTTTCCCGCACAGATGTTCAGCTGGCTGTAGTTCCTGTTCTGACAGCCATAACATCTTACCACAACTACTTGGAGCAATCAAGACAGGTAGAAATGATTGTATAAAGAAATTTAACCTCATCAATCTGGATACCTGATTAACTGAACAGACGTTTTGAAGCAATGTTGTTGACATTTGGCCAACACAAACACATTGTGGACTTTCTTTATAAACCTGATTTTCAGGCTCCACTCGTGCACGAAAAGGAAACGTTTCGATTCCACTGATTTTGACTTCCTTTTCCTCCTGCAGAGAGAACTGGTTCAGTGCCTTGAGACTGGCCTCATTTATCGATGTGCCAAACAGTGTGTGGTGGCTCTTACAATGTGCACGGTGGAGATGCCTGATATCATGATCAAGCTCCTCCCTGCGCTCATCGTCAAGCTTACCCACATCTCTGCCACCGTTGCCATGGCATCTCCCATGCTTGAATTCCTCTCTAGTGAGTTCTCAAAGCGATCACCTTTTCTGATTTATTCTCAGTGCGGTCTTGTTGTTCACTCTCTGTCAGCTCACTAGACAAAGCTCAAACCTGATTGGTTGATGTTTTGGGTCTTATTTTTCACAGCTCTGGTGCGTTTGCCCCATCTGTACGCCAACTTTGTAGCTGAGCAGTATGTTAGTGTGTTTGCCATCTCGCTGCCCTACACCAACCCCTCCAAGTTAGTACTCAGACACATAAATGTGTATTTTAGCTTCATAGATACTCACGTCTTTTACTTACTCTTACTCTTTTACTCACATCAGGTTCAACCAGTACATTGTGTCTCTGGCCCACCATGTGATCGCCATGTGGTTCATACGCTGCAGACTTCCCTTCCGCAAGGACTTTGTTCAGTACATCACAAAGGTGAGAATCAAAAAATAAAGCCTTCAAACTTTTACTCTGTCTCATTTATTTCAGACATAATAGAAATATGACAATAACTGGTAAAAGAGTTAAGTCAGGAAAAAGCCCTGACTTTTGTGCTAAATAAAAGGTTCAAGATGCAGCTATGTTTAAAGTATGTCAAAGGGGGTTAAGGCTTTTCATTCATGCTTGGGTTTTACATTTGTATAACTTCTGCATGCGTTTGGATTTATCTGTAGCACCGACTTAAAGGTGGAACGCTAGATTCAGATTTGTACCTCTGATCGGGTGCATAGTTGCAAAAATCACCACGCTGCACTCTTCTTTGCGAGCCGTCACTTAACATTAACTTGCTCTGTTTTCACAAGGGGCCACTGAGAGACTTTACAGACTTTATTTCCATTTGGAAATGTGAGCTCACGAAACCTTTCTTTGTATGATCGAAGAAGAGCAGCAGTTTGGGGGCTTGTTCACCGTGCGTGTAGCAAACGTCATCTCTTGATGTCCTTTGTTTGTGTGAATGTTCTCACTATTGTGATCCATTTTTCTTCTGTACATTTTTTCGGTGCGATTCTCGTCCTGCAGTTTTCAAGCCATTTCAACAAAATCGTAAATCAAAACGTTCAGCTCTTTCAGGACAATCCTGCGATGACTTTTGGTATTGGTGCCATTTTAGCTTTTCTGTCATTTTTCTTCTCATGTAAAATGAGCTCAATTCATTTTCTATCATTCATATCTTTAGATCTGTTTACAACCTTTTCCTTTCACTTTTTGTTCTGGTTCAGCTTCTTTTAGATTCCTTGTGTAAATGTAAACTTTTTTTCAGCTACTTTCAGCGAATTTCAGCTGTTTTTTAAAACTGTTTTGTGCTCGTTTCAGCTTCTTTCTGCTAACTACAAAATTTGTGTGCTTCTTCTAACTTCTTTCTGCTAATTTCAGCTTGTTATGCTCCTTTCAGCTTTTTATGCTATTTCAGCTACTATTTAGTTGTTTTTATGCTACTTTTAGCTTTTCAGCAAATTCCAATTTTTTTTTTGCACTAATTTCAACTTTTTTCAGCCAAATTCAGTAAAAAAACTGCTCACTCTTACTTCTTTTACACTTCTTTCTGTTTTTAGCTACTTTTCAGCTGTGTTTTTGCTACTTTCAGGTGTTTTCTGATAAGTTCCACTTTTTTGTACTCATTTCTGCTTCTTTCAGCCTAATTGGGGAAAAATGTTCTTTCTGCTTTTTTTCTGCTAATTTAAGCTTGCTCTAACTTTTCAGCTACCTTTTTAGCTTTTCTGTGCTAATTTCTGCTGTCTTCAGATAAATACAAGTTTTTCATGGTAATTTCTGCTACTTTCAGCTTGTTATTCTCCTTTCGGCATATTTCTTCAAGTTTCAGCTTTTTTAGCCTTTTCAGCTACTATTTGGCTGTTTTATGATAATTTTAGCCTTTTCAGCTAATTCCACTTTTTTTTAGCTCATTTTAGCTCTTTCTATTTCCTTCTGCTAGTTTAAGCTTCTTTCTGCCTTTTCAGCTACTTTTCAGCTAATTTTAAATAATTTCCTAATTTCTGCTTCAGCAAATACGTGTTCTTTCTGCTTTTTTCTGCTAATTTAGGCTTGTTCTTCCGTATCGGCTACATTTCAGCATGTTTTTTTTATTTTTTTTAACTACCAGTAGTTTCAGCTGTTTTTCAGCAAGTTCTTTTGCAATAAGCATTCACACTGTATTTTTGCAGGAAATGCCATTTCTCTAGTTACATTTCAGTTTTACGTCTTCTCTTAACATTCATAAATTCATGTTTTTCTTCAGGGTTTGCGGTCCAACGCCCTGCTGCCCTTCGACGACGGCCACGAGCAGAGTCCATTTCGTGCTCGCAGTACGAGCCTCAATGAGAGGCCCAAAAGGTAACGTGGAATTTCCTGCTAGGCTGACGTGCAAACGAGCAGCTCCGCACATCCCTGTGTATGTAGTTGTGTAAGAGGGTTAAGGGTTGCCGAGGAAACGGCAGACTCGGCATGACAAATATAGTGGTGTGACGCCTTTCAGGTTGCCATGGTGATCATTAGTTTTCATCATTTGAATTTGTTCTGTTTCAGTATGTTTGTCATACAAATGAATAACATGAGCACCTAAATACACTCATGTTGTTTTGTTTTTCATATTTTAGGTTTTTGCATCAATTATTGCTCAACTGTTTTCCCATTTTGTCCACCACCTGTTGCTTTATTATACCTGTGCTTACGCTTTGTTGGCGTAATAAGAGGAGTAAGTCTGCCTTCCTCAGGGTTTGAATAGTTATTTTTATAAAAATTTTTTAAACTCCTCTCTGGTGGTTTAATACAGACGTGTTGGATGATGCTCACAGTGTGTAGCTGATCAGAGACTGAAGGAGGCGACTTCACTAAAGTCCACCAGGCTCTGACTGTTTCAGATGCGTCTGCACGTCTGCGATTATTCTTTGAAGTTTTAGTCGTAAAATTAAAACAGAAAAATTTTGCTTAGCCATTAAAAAAAAAAAAATTCAATTCAGTTTATTTATATAGCACCAAATCACAACAAAGTTGTCTCAGGGCACTTTACAGGAACATTCACATACATAAAAGCCAATTAATAAATTTCTTTATCTGAGGAATCCAGCAGACAAGTTGAATCTTGGCTTCGTCTTGGGGTTTCTTAGTGTAGCCAAAGATCTTTAAAAGTGGTCCTGAAATCACTTGTAAAGTATTAAAAAATGTAACTTTTGCTAAGTTTAGATGTCCTGGATAAATCAGTATTTCTCCAGTATTATCATTATTTATCTTCTTTTGTTGTGCTAACAAGTATCATTCTTTCAAATGCGTTCAAGTAATTTAGTTTTGGTTTCCGCACTCCCTTCTTAATTTCAAATAACCTCACTGTGCCTTTATTGCCACCGATTTTTAAGAAAAGCTGACTTTCCAATAAACTCCATAGCATGGAACGTGTCTGATAATGTTAGAGATTTTCAATACTAACCTACATTTAGAATTTCATGTAAGGTATCATCATCCTTGTGCCGCTCATGTCCATTGAAGGGTTGGAGCTCAGTGTGTCAAAGTCTACAGTGATCGAGATAACCAAATTATATCTACATTTTCTTCTGCTGAATAAATTACGTTAGCAAAATTCCAGGAATTCTCAACGTTGGAAACTTTCCATTGGAATTAATGGGACTTTATGGGAAAAATTCAAAACGTTGGTCCTTAAAAGGGATTTTATACGTAGTTGCAGGAAATATTTTTGAAAACGACCAGATTTCATTGTTGTACCATGTAATGAGAGACACCACGCGTATAAAATGATGATCTATGTCCCCTGGACGTGTAGGGACAGATGGAAATAGTAAAATGTAAATCCTTCTGTTTTTAATGCAAATAAAATGACAAAAAGCCAAAATAATGATCAAAGAGAATCTGTCCATATGACACGATTTAACTTTTTAATGATCAAATAATAATTAGTTTAGTTCAGAGTTGTGTGATTGAAACTTGATATTTTGTGTTCATAAATTTTGACCTTTTTTGTGATATGTTCACTGATTTTTAAGTTTTCAATTTGGAACTTTCACAAAATCCTGCAGCTTCACTTCCCATGGAAAATTTCTGGAAACGTTTTTGGAAATTTACTGGAATATTTTTTGCCCCTTTGCAACCATTATATGAAGACAAAATCTGATTGACTCTCAAGTTTCATCTTTTGAGTTGATTAAACTTTAATCTTGGCCATTATCTGAATGTTTCTCATGTTTAGTATTTATTCTAGACTTGCTGTTCTCCAACCCACACGTTTAATACATTTTGTCTCATTGTTCTGATATTTGATCTTGTATTACGTGAAGCCTGTGCTGAATCCATCCCTGTTACAACTGTTCTGTTCTCTTAGTTGTTGCTTTCACTTTGAACCTGCTGAAATGTTGATTTTGTTGCTCTCCTGAATAATTTCTGGATGTTTTCCTTTCTGAGCAGCAGAGGTTGTGTAAACCTCTGCATGTAGTTTGTCTATTTTTTTTCTGTTTGAATGAATGTTTACCCTTTATTTTAAATCCTCTTTTCTTTCTCCGCTCTCCTCTAATCTGACTCATGATGTCCACTGCTGTTAATTTTTCACCTTGTTTTGTTTTTGTTGTTTTCTTCATTTGACCCCCCTCCACTGCCTCCTGGTTTGGTGCTGCATTGTGGTTGTGGTTTTGGGGGTGGTTGTGTCATCCTGGATCCTTGCTCCTGACTCCCGCTCCCTCGTGTGACGCCTGCCCTTTGACCTTTATGTTCTGTACCCATCCCCTTGTGTGCTGTATGCCCCTGGTCGCCTGCTCGTGTTGCTCTGGTGCTCGGGTGATGATCCCTGCTGTCTCCTGATGTACTTTTTAAACCACACGTCCACTATTACTCCCAAACCACTGGCACCTTCATGATGACCCACCCCCTTTACCTCCAAACACCAACCCTGGGTTCCCTTCACTCGTTGCCACGGATACGCCTCTCCTCCCAGTCTGCGAGCTGTGAAAGTGTCAAAGGCAGCTCCTGTAGCCAATAGCAGCAGCTCTCCAGTTAAAGAGCTGAGGGACCTGTCAGCCATGGATGCTTTCCGCTCCCGCAGCATCAGCGTCTCCGAACATGCGGTTCGCAGGTTAGAGAAGACCCTACTTGGTAACAAAGCAAAACAAATAAAAATAACTGTAACAACCTAAACACTTCCTGCTTCCTCCATTGGGAGTCATTCTCATACGAGTTTGTTTGGGCCGTTTTTAATGAGGTTTGTTGGAAGGGACACCTGGAATGGGTGGTGCATGCTGGAGGAAGGGTGTGCTGATTGTTTAGACTATTTTTTGTTTGTTTGTTTGTTTGTTGTTTTTGGTTGTCGTTCTTATAATTTGCTTTTGCATGCAGTGTTTGTCGAACACACTGGAAAACATCTTGATCCGCAGCGATGTTTTTCTGTTTTTGCTTTTGCTCCAACGCAAATTTTTTATCGTAAATTGTGTTCTTTGTCTTTGCTTGGATTTTTTTTTGTTTTTGTTTGCTGGGTCTGTTGGCTGCTGTATTTTGATTGGCTTAACAATAAATGGATGCCAGGAGCCACTGCTGTCAAGCATGTGTGTGTTTTACATAGGTCAGGGATATTATTTTTTCTTTGGCCTCTTCCTCTTGGTCGACGCTTCTGCTTCTTTAGCCAGTGACGGGCACAACAGCTTTTGTTTACTTGCATCTTTGTTTTTTTATTTGGCTTCATTGAAATATCCACTGTGCTGCTATGACCATGGCAATCTCCTAGAGTGGGCTGTTAGGACTAGTTGGGCTGATCTGGAGCACTTATCACCATCACCACACAAACATCTACAGGGACCGTCTGCCTTTCTGTTCTCATGTGTTTAAGCATGGCTGAGCTGCTCAGGTGTTACAGAATGAGACTGAACGTTGCAGTTGTGGTTTCAAAGCAACTTTTCTTCAATGTCATACCTCAATTGCGCAACAGAAGGCAGCAAAAGCTTCTATTTAACTTTTATTAGATGTAAAATTTTCAAAGTCAAACCTAAAACTGCCCGTCGACAAACAACTGCAACGTAGATCTCTTCATCCTGCTTTTACTGTCCCATTTTTTAAATTTCACACTTCTTTTAAGTGGACACTCCTCCCCTCCCAGACAACATGACCATGTTTTAATTTTTGATATTTTAAGGTGACGCCTTAAAACAGAATTATGCTATGAGTAATGTACCCCAAACTCACAGATTTTATTGGCTTTAAAGGTTTATTTTGCAATGCGATGAAGTCAACAAGCGGCACCCCTTTTTCAGTTGTGAGTGTTTCATGGTCATGTTTTTATGGAGTATGTGTCGAGAAAATTGTGTTAAAACGAGCAACTCAGTCGATCGAAGAGGTAAGTTTAAAGTCTGGGACCTGGTCTGAGTTTTTATTTTCCATCCAGAATTTTAATTCAAGCTTTACAGCTATATTAAGATTATAATTTTTTTAACATGCCTGAATTTTATTTTATTATACATAATTTTCCAATTAAGATTTCCTTGTCAGTACAGCTTTTCTGAGCTAATAAAGTGGTTAGTAAACTATTCAATGCAACATGTTATTGTATTGAAACAGAAAGAAATGGACAATAAATCATAAAAAAATGCTTTACTCTTGTGATTATCACATTTTCTAACCAGTTTTCTTTTATATTTATAAGTTATTTCTTTTGTGTTTTCACTTTCTAGTTGTTTAGATGTGAACAGGCTTTTTATATTCCTCATTGTGATGAGCAGAGATATCTCACTGTGGCTGAAATGTTGCTGTAAATGCTCATTTAAAGCAGCAAACCAAGCTACAACTTCATTCATTCAACCTTTATTTATACAGGTTAGTTCCCATTGAGCCTTGAGGACTCGTTTACAAGAGAGGCCTGTTACATACAAACATGCAGAGTAGATGAGGAAAAGAGAACACGAGGGTAGAGGAAGTAAAAAAAAAAAAAAATCATATTTCACACCATGTCTTGGCCAGGGCACAGTGTAAAAGATGCAAAAAAAATGACCTCGCAACATAAACGGCAACATATGACATAATACATTTAAGCATGAGGTCAACAAAGTGGTGAGTTGTCCATGGACACTGCCAGAACGTTCCAACGTTCTGATAAAATGGTACAGTGTCTATCAGCAGTTGCGCATGCGCAGTTCTGATAAGACCTGTCATTCCCCGATCCGTTACGGAAGCACGATCCGTAGTGTCAGCTCATTTGCACATGCGATAAAAGGGATACTTCCGGGTCGCACGGATCGTCGTCGTTTATGATTAAGAACTGTCTTTATTTACTTGGAAAAGTACGTGCTCTATCTTCGCCGATCTTCATGTTGCTAATTTACTCCACTCTTATTTCCGTTAAAATCGTTGACATATTTACGACATGGGTTAAGATGATATGCGACGCATTAGACTTGACCCCAGCCTGGGCTGAATGAGAAAACCCTGCAAGATACAGAATGAATTATTTCCATGGTGAAACGGCGCCACTCTGCGATGAAGCTGCATATCATTTTAAGCGTGACATAAATATATGTCAATGATTTTAACGGAAATACGAGTGACGTAAATTAGCAACATGATCGGTGGAGATAGAGCACGTACTTTTCTACAGTAAGTAAATTAAGAAAGTTCTTATTCATAAATGGAATTATAACATTGTCTAGGAAAATTACAAAATTTATAACAAGATATATTTTAATTAATATTAATAAATATGGTATGTTTCATAAATGTATTTTATTAATATCAAGTAATTATTTCCAGTACATTTTCCTTAATTAGCATATTCAACGGTGATCCATGCGACCCGGAAGTGTTCTTTTTAGCACATGCGCAAATGAGCTACACTATGGATCGGCTTCCATAACCGATCGGGCAATGACGAGGCCCACGGATGTCCTCGGGAGAGGGGGGTAGGAGGAGAGGCAGCAGAGCATCATTATTCACATAACCTCTGAGAGAATTTGAGATGGCTGGCATATTCAAGGCCAAGTGGGGAGCCAGATTTGTTAACACATGTTTTGGGACAGGCAGACTTTGCTTCATGTTTTTATGTCTGCCTTTAAAAGTTCTGCTGGTAATTCTTCATGGTGAATCCAAAACAGCCAGATTTGTGGTCATTCATTTTGTGCTTGTAGTCTTCCCCAAGGTCAAATCCTTCACGCCAACGAGTTTCAGAAGCCGCAAGTGTCTGCAGTGCTCAGAAATCACGTCCAGCTTAAGGCTTAGCTCAAAAAGCATCTGAGTCTGGACGCTCGAAGCGCGGCACATTCCTTCACACATGGCAGGCAGCTTCAAAATAACCAGATCCGCTGCCGACGTCTTCAGAATTTGTCGATGAGCCAGAAATCTGCTGATTCCAAAAAGCTGAAATCCCGCTATCATAAATCCAGTTATGTATGCGTCTTCTACGTTCTCAACGGACAATACAGAGAGACATCAGGAATCCCGAAGCGAATGTCCCTTCAGGGCATGAGGGCTCTCCTTCTCCCTGTCTTCTCGTCAAGAAAATTTTATCAATTGCGTTGAGATCAGCTGACCAAATCATATTCATTCGACCTTTATTTAGACAGGTTAATCCCATTGAGCCTCAGGGACTCATTTACAAGAGAGACCTGATTTCTGTTTTTTTGTTTTGTTTTGATATTCACTTTATCTCCAGATCTGACAGTGATAAGTTGTTTTTTTTTGTATCTGCACGCTCAAATTCAACAAGAATCCTTAGGAATCCAAAAAGCGAGCACTTCTAAACGTTGAACACTATTAAGGTCGTCTTGGTGACACACACCTTCATTTAACTTTATTTAATATAAATATGTACAGAAATTTGTGTCTTCTGTAGAATAAAAAAAAAATTGCATTTGGATAGAAATAAAAACAGCCTCTTGGGCCACTTAGACCATGTCCCAGTTTATTTATTAGTTTGTGTGCTTAAGAAATTCTAATGATCCTGAAATTATTTCACACTTGTGGATGCATGCAAAGAAAAAGAAGCCTGGCTTGCATGCGATTTAGGCAAAACGTTGTGTGCCTTTTTAGATACTTTTTTATTTTTTCCAGAATTCTGCCTGCACCTGCCATAGCGACTGCACGACCATGCGCACATATTTTATGACCTTGCATGCTGTCCTTCTCTCTTGCTGTTTAGTTATTTCTTATTTTCCTCATATAGGATGCACACGTCAACCACAACCTGCAGTTTGGGCTCTGCCGATGAAAATGCTGTAACTCAGGCAGATGAGGGGCTCAAGACTGTCCACCTGGAGCTCACTGAGACCTGTCTAGATATGATGGCACGATACGTGTTCTCCAACTTCTCTGCACTGCCCAAGAGGTTGGTGGGAATCTGTATTTTGCGTGTCTTTTGCTCAGTTGGGGAAAAAAATGGACGAGTTTTCTTCTGGTTGTCCTCTTAGGTCTCCCATTGCAGAGTTTCTCTTAGCCGGAGGTCGCAGTATGACCTGGTTGGTTGGCAACAAGCTGGTGACCATAACAACCAGTGGAGGCGTAAGAACACAAGCATTGCTCGGGCTGGACATGTCTGAACGTCTGGGAGGAGGCGGGGAAATGACCAGGTGATGCACGCTCGCAGACAAAACGATTAAAAAATTTGTATATCTCAGTCTGCTCTTGCGTTCAAATGTCCAAAAAATATTTCTTTGTCATCTAGCTTCTGAGTGCAGAAGATTTCATTCAGTTGGGAAAACGCCATAAGATTTTATTTTCCTTGAAGAGTTTATCAAGAGTTTTTGTCCTTGATACTGACTTTGATGTGGCTAAGTTGGTCAAGGTGCCCGTCTAGTAAATGGGGGATCCACGGCTCAACTCCTCACAGTGCCTTGTAACTTTTTGGTGGCACAGTGGTGCAGTTGGTAGAGCTTTTGCCTCTTGGCAAGAAGGTCACCAGATCGAATCCCGGCCGGGGGCCTTTGTGGGTGGAGTTTGGATGTTCTCTCCATGCATTTGTGGGTTTTCTCCGAGTACTCCGGTTTCCTCCCACAGACCAAAAACATGCACGTTAGTCTGACTGGTAACTCTAAATTGTCCCTAGGTGTGAGTGAGAGAATGAGTGATGTGTCCCTGTGATGGACTTGCGACCTGCCCAGGGTGTCCCCCACCTCTCACACAGTGACTGCTGGATATGGGTACCAGTGACCCCCGCAATCTGAAAAGGAAGAAGCGGGTAAAAATAATGGATGTATGTATGTTAACATAAAATGATGCAAGTATCAAATTAAGATCTAAAAAAGTTAAATCTGATCCTCTGGACATTCAAAAAACAAAACAAAGCAAAAAAATAAAAATAAATAGAAACATTTCGTCTTTCATCCGAAAGACTTCTTCAGTTCTGAGGTTCTGTATTCAGCTCAGTCTTATAAATAGCACCTTCTCATAGTGGATCAACCAGTTTGTTGCTGACAGCCAAAACCAGCATTAGCTGTATTAGCTGATCCTTGCATCATTTTGCGTTTTTTTATTTATTTATAGCAAAGACTTGGTAGATAACAATGCAACCTTTTTTAAAAAACAAAACAAAACAAAAAAAAACTCCAGCTGTTAAGAAACTTATCAACTGCATTGAGTCCAGCATCCCCCTGCTGTTTGTCAGCCCCCTGCTGTCCAGCATCCTCCTTCTGTCCAGCGGCTTGTTGTTTAATAGTTTTCCTTTTGCATTTTAAAATACTTTCATACCACAGACATGTTGGCACATTACATCAAAACAGCCACTTCATTACGACTGTCGTACGTCAGCTACCCTGTGGCACGGATGATGTAAAACCATGGAGAGTAGGTCAGCAACAAAGATGGGTTGTGGAATGGAGCAGCTACCCCGATAACGATCATTGAAAATTCAGATTCGATACTTAGGACATACCTTGTAGCAGCCTTTTCAAAAGAGCCGTCTTTTGCATGTAGTGCGTTTGCACGACCTTCAATAATACTTTGTCATTCTAAGCCACTTTCTGTTTTGTTTTTCTCCACTGGCAGAGAGAAGCACAAGTGCAAACATGAACATTTTGTTCTTTATAATTCAGCATTAACATTTTTTGACAGTATGAGTGCTTGTGTGGTGCACGTAGATTTGCGAGCTCCATTTTAAATATTTGTCTGTGTTGGTTCTGCAGGTCAGATCCGTCACTACACACACGAATCACCAAAGAGGCTCCAGCCACTCTGGAGTCACAGTCCAGTCAGCAACACAACAGATCGACTCGGATACGGGTCCGCTCAATGTCAGGTAACCACGACACAGTTCTTTGTCCTTTCTGGGTCATTTAGATTTATATTTTTGTCTGCATGCAAAGACAGACCTGTGGCATTATTTAATTACTAGTGTTTTTAATTGTTTTTGTTGTTAAAAAAAGGCAAAGAAGAGTTCATTTATTTCTACGAGTCCTGTGAAGAAGTATCCTAACTGTACTTTGCTTTCTGTTATTTGAATGACTTAAATTAATTTAGGCTCTGTTGGTCTACCTGAACATGATTAACTTGTATTGTTTACCTTTAATAAAATGTCACGTCATTAAATTTTATTTGATGTTTTATATACTTTGTATTCATTTTTAGTTTAAATATCTAATTAGATGGATGTCTTTCAATGAAATGTAGAGAATCGGGGCGCTTGAGCAATTATTACTAATTATGATGACCTTTCTTGTTCTCCAGGGGGTCACGCTCTACGTGGTGGTCCTACCCAGAGTCTTAGTCCTCTGGTCTCCCCCTCAGAGGGTGAGCTAGCTCCTCCTCTTTCTCCCTCCTCGGGCCCTGGTCTGAATAGTGTCGGTCCTCCCTCGTCCACCTCCACCGCCCCATCTGCTCCTCCTCCTCTCAAAGATAACCCCAGCCTGGCTGAGTTTGTCCCCATGCTCACTCAGGGTTGGGCAGAAATCTTCATACGGAGACCTTCAGGTGTGGAATGAAACGATCTCAGTGCCTTGGTTTGCGCCGTCAGTTTGTCATTTTCCAGTATATGCAGTAAGGCGATACCTGAATTTGTTTCAGTGGAAGACACGAAGCACCTCCCAACAAATGTGCTAGTTTTCAAGAGGAAAATTAGGACTATCTGATATTTATTGTAAAAATTTAATCTTCCAACTTTTTATGAGCTTTGTTAAATGGTCTGCATTATAAAGAGTGTATTAGTGCTGACCAGTTTATGATAAAACTGTACGGTTGTGTTGCGCATCTCTTTGATTTCAGGTAACACCAGCTGGCTGATGTGTTTGGAGAACCCGCCCAGTCCCTTTTCCTCCGAGCTCGGCAACATGCCGCTGCAGGAGCTGTCCAGCGTCCTGATGGCGATGGAGGGAGTAAAGGAGCCTCCTGCTGAGACTTCCAGCGCTCCAGCCAGCACCGCCGCCCCGGCACCCACATCCGTCTCTGAACCCTTAAACCAAACGCAGAGCAGCGTTGGAGGGAAGTCGAACCTGATTCAGCGCTCCAACACCGGTGAGTCTGAAGAGCGTTTGCAGTCACGTTAGAGGCCGTTTTCGACTTTTTCATGAGGAAAATGTGTGACGGATTGCAGTTGAACTAACCAAAGCAGAACTTTAGAATTTTGAGAAAGCATAATTTCGGTCATGTAAAGTACCGGTACATCTTTCTTGTCTGCCTTGTTACTTCTTCTTGATCCCATGTAATGTGTGGTCATAAATAACAAATTCCCTACTTGGGCCTAAATGTTATCATTCAACCAGCTTGTCCTCGTTCTGGATAACAACTGGTAAAGGCTTGTAAAACCATATCTGGTTTTTAAATCAAGTATTTTCTTTATGCAGTTGCTTTCTGTTCTAAAATGCAGTTTTTTTGTATTTGTTCTTTCTCTCACTCTGGGACTCCATCCACTTCATCTTCATCTTTTTTACGTTTTTTTGCGTTCCGGCAACTGTTTGCATGGATCCGGCAGCTCTCAGGCTTACTAATCAATCAATCAATCAACCTTTATTTATACAGGTAAATCCCATTGAGCCTCGAGGACTCATTTACAAGAGAGACCTGATTTCAACAAAGAAAGATGACAACAATGGACAACAGCAACAACAATAAGCAGTTATAAAAACTCATACTACAGTTTTTTTTTTTTGTTTTTTTTAACAAATAGGATGGCTAAAAGGAAAAAGGTAACAAAACAAAAAAAACAGCTAGATTCCAAGACAAATGTATAAAACTAAAAACAGGAACATGTCTGCATTGGTCCCTGCCAGGAGTCCAACAGATTCTTAAAGCCACTTAGAGAGGTCAAGGTCGAGAGCTTCAAATCTTTTTGTAAGATATTCCAGGAAACAGGAGCGGAGTAGGAGAAGGCCCTTTTGCCTAGTTCAGTCCTCACTGAGGGAATAATAATAAAGTTATGAACAAATATGACTGTCTTGAATGAATAAAACTTATATTGGATACGTAAACTGATAATAATTACATAAACACAACAGACGACACAACACAACTTCTTAATATCACATACGATCATCTGCCACTTCAAGTGAAACATTTCTGCCTCTACCCTTAAAAATATCTCTGTCCCTAAAAAGAGTAGTGGGGCTGAAAGCCTGGACTCCTTTACTTTTCAAATATTTCCATGTATGAGCACTCATCTGCATTACTGTGTCCTGCTTTAGACTCTGTGGTGATGCTGGAAGAGGGGTCAGGGGTCACCACACCTCACACCCCACTGGAGTGGGTGGAGGGGGAAGAGTTTGAGCCCATGCCCTCTGAGCCCATATTCATGGCTCCTGACAAGACGCCTCCTCCTGGAACACTCAGCAGGGTAAGGAGTTAACGCCGGTCTGTTCGTTAATAATGCATCCTGTGCTAGCGTGAACTGATGGTTTGAAATAAATGACTAATTATAAACATGTGCATTTAAAAACCGGTCTCTAGCTTTAACTCTAGAAGCGACATTCACGCATTTTTATTGATGGCAGAAGACAAAGTAATTAATGTTATGTGTGTTTCTGTCTGCTGGGAATTAACCAGTGGATTTTAATGAAACTCCCAAAATAATTGCTGGACGAACATCCAATTAACTTTTGGAGTCAGTCCAGTTTAGGATGGTCTTCACAGCCAAACAACCTTCACATGAAAATGGCTACAACTCAGCCAAGTTTACAGATACTGAGTTAAAATTTATTGTGGTAGTAGCTGGGCGTCGTTCCCAACACATGCTCTGAGCACTAACTGATTGCCCAAGACCTTCGTTTCAAACTTTGGCGTGTAAGGCAGCAGTTAGTATATATTCCTATCTGACTTTTAATTAATACCATAAAACAATTTACATTAGTCACAAATTGACTCGCACATAAAAATAGACACGAGAGTTTTAAAAAAGGAGATGTTAAAAGCAAGGACTAAAAGAAACAACAGAAATTGTCTGTTTAATTGTTCAGCATGGTTATCGCTGACGAATTATAAAAAAAATCTGGCTAGTGGGACTTTGTAGATGTTGGTGGCTATCTGGGTTACGAAGGAATTATACAGTTAACTTAAATGACTATTAAAATAGACAAAATGAATGCAATTATCTATAAACATGTCAAGAATTGAGTCAGAATATTCAGATTAAAAAAGACATTGTTGCAAAGACTTTGTCTACGAAATTTCTATTTTTTTGTTTATTATTATAAAAGCTGTTTTTGAGGATGAAAATAATTGTTTTTGTCACAATTTTCATCTATAATTATTTGCTGATGTGATTTTGACATTACTTATTTTCTTTTTCATTTGGTTTCTACAACCAAATATATATATATATATATATATATATATATATATATATATAATATTCTTTGCAGACTTCTACTCTTGTTTTACATCTTTACAGTTGGATAATCTGCTAAACCCTGCTGAAGGGAAAATATTAAAATTATAGTATTAAAATGAAGTCTTTCTCCTAATTTTCAGTCATCCTCCACCTCCAGTCAAGACGATGAAAAGTCGACTCTGGAGGAGGTGAGTGAAGGAGCGATTCCCATTGATCAGCCCACTCCAGGTCCCTCCACCCCCGGCAGCCAGGGGCCTGAACTTCCATTTCAGAGCCACTCTCAGTCCCAGGGTCACGGACTCAACAAGTCCAGCTCCTCTCCAGAGCTCCAGACGCTGCCTGAGGCCTTCGCCAAAGCTAATCTGGAGTCTGAGAGCGTGCAGGGAGACTCCTCTCGGCCCAGAGCGCCCTCGGATGGCAAACCTCCGGCGCAGCAGCTTCAGTTTGAAAAGGACAAAGTGAAAGGGAGCACAGGAGTGGACGTGAATGGTTTGGGACGTCAGAACCAAGCAGGAGACGGATCCGGTCCAACACCTCAAAGCGGAGGGTTGAGGCTGTCTTTTCCAGCAGCACCGACACATTCTGGACCCATCTCTCCCAGCGGAGGCCACCGACCCCGAGGTCACACCATTTCTGTTTCAGCACCGTCCTCCAGGAGAGAACGGAGGACGGAGAGGGACTCGTATCACAATCGACCTGGACCAAGCAACACAGAGAAAATGTCTGGACTGAGCCCCAGGTACTCCACAGTTTATACAGGCCGCCGCTGCTGCAGCTTCAGTCAACAGTTTCTGTCAGATTAGAGATGGAACAGGTGAAGTCCTTAGGCTCATGTCGTTTCTGCTCGAGGAATACAAAGAGCACCTACCAACGAGAAAAAAGGCTAAAAATGTGTTTACAGTAGTCCTTCGTTTATCGCGGGGGATCCGTACCCTGAAGACTCAAGTATTAAGTAGTAGTTTTATATATATATCTATAGGTGGATATATATATATATAATCTTGCAATATTCTAAACAACGTTTCTAAATGCTCTAAAATAACACAGAATGTCATGATTTCAGCTCCCTGCTTCCTCTGCTCTTTGCCACCTGCAAGTGCTCTTGGCCACGCCCACTTCTCCGCTCTGCACTGAGCATCTGATCAGCTGTTTAGCTGCAGCTGGAAGTTTATCCTGCAGCGCAGTAAGGGCTGCACAGAGGCGCAGGAGGAAGCGTTTTCTGCAGCTCTGGGCTGCACAAATGTGCAGCAGGTGCTAAATAATTAAAAATTTATTTTAAATAGAAATTTCTTGCCGATCGTGCGGCTCATCCATCAATCAGCCAGTTGTGTGTCATGTCCAAGCTTATTTTGAAAAACCAGGTTAGATTGAGTTCGCGATAAACAAACTGCGAAGTAGTGAGGGACTACTGCAATGGTAAAATGGCAGATTAACCCTTAGCTCTAATAATTAAAGCTATAATGATAATAATAGTTTTATTGTTTTATTGACTAGTTACACTTTCTTTACTTTTAAGTTTAATGTTATTGGACAACATATTTGTTTAGGATGCAAATTTAATGACTTAAGATGCATTTAAATTTAAATAGTTTACATTTCTCACTGCTGACAAAAACGCAAAGCATTTAGAAAGTTTTTACTTATTTGGAAGTTAAAGAGAAAATAGTTTTATTTATTTATGTTTATTTGGCAGTTTGACCGATTCTGTTCACTATAAGCAGTGGTTATCTGGCCTGCTTTTACTTCATTCTCCAAACTTAAAACATTTTGTTTTAAAGGCAAGTAAACTAATGACTACTTCACACAGTTTCACTTTACACAACTAGATATATTCCTTTAAAATGATACATTTATTTCTAGAATATAGTCTGTACATAGCTGTGCTTGTATTTGTTATGCAGTCCTTAACATGGTTCTATTTATAGTAATATTTATACCATTTCTTTTCAAATCCATGTTTAATTAATATAAAATCATTTTTCTTTTTTTATATAGTTTTGTGTTCCTCCAGCTGTACCACTCTCCTTTCTTTGGGAATGAGGCCAACAAACCGTTGCTGCTGCCTAAAACTCAGGTGAGCCACGTCCTCTGTTCGACCCGATGAACTGTAAAGTTCGCTTTTTGTGTTGCTGTCAGGATAAAAGAATCTGTCAGAGATAAGAAATGCCACAGTCAGGATTTGATCTTTCTTTTCATTGATAATAATGCCATTTACAGCTTCAGCACACACAAAAAAAAATCAATCTCCTGACCAGTGGCTGTAAGAGCGAGGCCTTCAGTTAGGATGTAATATCCCAACAACCTAAAAAACACCAACGTTGAAGACGCCATGGAGTCACGGTCTGATTATGTCACTTTCTGTTTTACAATCCAGAAACTTGTTGAACAGGAAGTGATTTCCTCCTTTCTTGTTCATCAAATACATCTGCTCTGTTGCCATATTTTTACATTCACCAACATCAACCTGAATATAAATGCTGACCCAACACTAGTTCAAGAATCTTTATTATCCCCAAGGTGCAACTTGTTTCACAGTCAGTAAAAACATCCATACTAGACAAGACATTGAGACATTAAAGTAACGGTACTGAGATTATCACTGTTCATTGAGAAGCCTGGTCACTACAGGGATGAATGAGTTTTTCTGTTCATCCTACTTCTGGGCTGCAGATACCTGCGTCCAGATGGAAGCAACCTGAACTCACCATGGAGTGGATGATCAGGATCTGCCAGAATCAGCCTGGCCTTGTTCACTGACCTCGCCTTATGTAGGTCACTGAGGTTCTGTAGGGCTGTAGTTTTGCTGCGCATCCTGACAATCCCCGAGAGTTTGTTCCTGTTTTTGCATGTTAGCAATCCAAACCAAAAACTTTAAACAGAACAACCAATAGGGACAATTTATCTGAAAACATAACCTGGAAAAAGTCCACCCATTTCTATCCCATGACTACCCAGCTGCCCCTGCGACTCACACGGTCTCTTGCATTCAAGTACAACATGTAATTTCAACAATTCACACTGAAATTTAACAGTAACCCACATAACTTACTGTTTTTGTAAAAATTCATCATGCACTGAAATAAAATACAGCTACCGATAATAAAGACGATTATCATTGTAAACATGAATGGGATATTTAACCTTCATTTTTTTAGAGCAACTACAATTTCTGCGTGTATTTTTGAAAATACAGATTGTAATTAATTGAATGCATCACAAATCTTCACATGATCATCAACAAATAAACAAATAAAAAAAAACGCCTGCAGGGCCTTCCCAAAGGCTCAGAGCTCCATGTTTTGGTCCCACCTACTCGATATTAACAATGACGCTGTTTAATTTTTGTATCAATTTAACTATTGAACTCTCAAATCCTGCATGAACTTTGTATGAGCTCTGCCTTCTCTCCTGGCAGTGAAGTCCTAACCACTGACAAAGAACTTTCAAACAAGTTTCAGCCTGGAAACGTAAATTTACTATAATCTCATTGGATAACTGTATCTTCTTGAGTTAAAGTGTCAAAGTGAAATTCACGGCTTTCTGGCTCAAAATTCAGTGAAACGGCAACAAAAAAAAAAATTCACTTTTTTTTTCCCCAACATTTTGAGTCACCAACTAGTTTCCAACTGTCCCAGCCCTTTGAGATGTTAGCTTTAATATATTATATTATTATTAAAATATATTTATAATAAACCCTCTCAGGGCTTAATTTGTAAACCGATCGATGCCGGAACACAAATAGCGGTTGGGCCGATTGGGGGTGGGGCTATCCTGGGGTCCTCCCCCAGAAAATTTTGAATAAAGTAGATGTGATTTCCTGCATTTTAGTGTATTTTAACAGGTTGTTAAACTTCTATGTTTACCAACATTTGTAAACGCTCTCATCCTAACACGCCCCCCCCTTACTTGACGATTCAGTGCCGACTCTTCTCCGCTGAATTCACTGCACACGTGAAACCTCCAGGCACTCTGTTCGTATACAATTTATCGATTATTATAAATGATGCAACATGTTTTGTTTCATGTAAAAATCAAGGAGGAAGTGTCATCCAACAAGGATTTTGATTTCACCGCGCATGATCACAAGACAAGAACCTGACGACGTAAAATATATTTTGTTAGCAAATAATAGAGTCCTAACATTTATTAAACATTACTTCTGTATTTACAAAATATAAAAACATCAAACTGTTTGGACAAACTCGTTGATAAAACTAAAACATTTTGTCAATGCGAAAGAGGAAAAGAGGGGGCAGGTGTCGCTCTCGCTTTGAGTTTACTCTTTGTAGCATGTGCGCTGTGGGTGACGAGCGTCCAGTGCGTCATAAAAACAGCAGCGGAGGAGGTCGGAGTTATTTATCGTCTCGGCAGCAGAGGGGAGCGACATGGTTCAAGCACAACTCCCTATATCAGTTTACATACAAGTTTTATTTGTTCATAACTTTATTATTCATAAGTCTGAGAGTTACCTGATCCAAGCAAACGGTTGCAGGAACGCACCCTGTCAAAATAAGAGCGTTCCCGGACATTGTTCCGGCAGGATCCGGCTCGAATGAAGCGCTGCGTGCTCTGGGTTTTGTGCAGCGTTTATGTGGTGTGTTTTCTGCGGCAGGTGATCGACCGAGCTGTGAAGGTTTTGGACCAGATGCCTCCTTATGACACCCATAAGATTGGAGTTGTGTTTGTTGGTGCGGGTCAGGTGAGAACCTACTGGTCGTGGTTTTGATTTCTAACCTGGCGTGTACAACTGACGCCTCGACCCTCTTCCTTGTCTACAGGTGAGCAACGAGGTCGCCATCCTGTCCAACGAATACGGCTCGAACCGCTACGCCGCCTTTCTGACGGGCCTGGGAAAGTTAATCCACCTGAAGGACTGTGACCCTGACCAGATCTTTCTTGGAGGGCTCGACCAGTATGGAGATGATGGGGAGTTCACCTACTGCTGGCACGACGACATCATGCAGGGTTAGTGCACGCCTGCAACGGGAAAGGCGTTGCGCTTTTTAAATTGTCCCTCATCCAGTCGACGGTGAATTCTAAATAAAATCCTGTCTTTGCAGCCATCTTCCACATAGCTACACTGATGCCAAACAGAGAGAGCGACAAAGGCTGCTGCAACAAAAAGCGACACATTGGCAACGATTTTGTCATGGTGGTATATAATGACTCAGGAGAGGAGTACAAACTGGGCACGATAAAGGTAGATGTGCAACCTCGAGGCATGAGAAAGTCCACAATTTACTTTTTATACTTTATTACAAACTGCTCTCCCTTTTTTCCCTGCAGGGTCAGTTTAATTTTGTAGAAGTCGTTATTAAACCACTGGACTATGAATGTAACCTCGTTTCTCTTCAGTGCCGCAAAGGTGAGTTATTTATTAATTTATTTTTCTGCTTGTCCTCAGCTTGTTGCTCATTCTGTCTGTTCTTCTCTTCAGATCTCGAGGGTTTGGTCGACACAACGGTGGCAAAAATAGTTTCAGATCGCAACCTTCCACTTTTAGTTCGACAGATGGCCCTGCATGCAAACGTGGGTCCTTACTTTTATTTTAGACATTAATTAAACACAACACTTGTTTCACTCTTCTCTTTGTTTCTTTCTAGATGGCCTCTTTGGTGCACCAGTACAGAGCTAATCCCTCCGATGCGTATGCTTCCAAGTGGCTCGCAAGATTACGACACATAAAGAGGATCAGAACCAGAGTAAGACGAACTCTGAATCATGAACAAACTTTAATGAAACTGGCAGAAAATGATCATTGGATCAAGATGGCTGCCAAAGCCAACTGACATTAAAAATCACAAAAATGTCTATAACTCAGTTTTTAGATATTTTGAGCAAAGGTTTGATGGGCTTGTAGCTGAGAATCATTCACAATTGTTACATATTTCAATATCATGAGATCACGTAATGTTATTTTCAAGGTTTGACCAAAGCTGCTGTTCATCATTTATCAGATTTATCAGTGTAAGATCGATAAGTCTGACATAAAAGCCTTTTAAGTTATATTTGACCCCTCCCCCCCCCCTCCATCTTTGTCCTCTCTGCTGCGTCCCAGGCTCAAGAAGACATCCAGTCCCGCTTGGCTCCTGGAATCTCTTTGACCCAAGGACACCCTCAGCAGAGCAAGTCGTTTCAGCAAAACGCAGCAGCAGCAAATCCCGAGGCCTCCGGGCAGAGGAAGAGACTCGTCTCAACAGTGGATGATTTCACTGATTTTGTTTGATTATGTTAAGTCGCTCTGCCAGAAACATTCACACGAACCCAACCGCAGACCGGTGACGTTTGTGGATTAATTAGAGTATGAAATAAAATTTATCATTTAAAAAAAAAAAAGCTCTGGAATGGAATGGTTTTTATTATCATTATTAATTTACATCATAAATGTAACTGATTTTTAATTTTATTTAATGTTTGGATCATCAATAGATTTTCAGAGAATTATATATTAATAGAAATCTAAGATGATATTAATAGAAATCTAAGATGAGAGAACCCAAAAAATTAATTCTTGGCCTAAACCAGAAGTTACACCCCCCCAAAAAAAGCAACCAATTCAATTAATTCAGTTCAAACTAGAGAAACTGCATTTCCTGCGAAAATGCAGTGTGAATGCTTGTTGCTGAAAAACTTGCTGAAAAACAGCAGAAATGAGCTAAAACATGCTGAAATGTAGCAGAAATGAAAAAACAAACCTAATGTAGCAGAAGAAAGAAAGAACAGTAGCTGAAAAGGCAGAAAGACACTTTAAAAAACTACCAAAAGGAATTGGAAGGTGCTGAAATAGCAGGAAAAAAGCTCAAAGGAGGCTGAAAGTAGCAAATTACCACGAAAACACTGAATATATGTGAAAACAGCTGAAAAATGCTAAAGTAGCTGAAAAGGTAGAACATGTCTGAAAGCATAAATAGCACAAAAAAGTGGAAATTATCTGAAAAAGCTGAAATTGGCAACAAAAAAACCCAGCTGAAAAGTAGCTGAAATAAGCTAAAATTACCACAACTAAGTGGAAAGAGCACTTTTTTTTTACTGAATTAGGATGAAAAAAGTTTAAATGAGTACAAAAAATGTGGAATTAGTGGATTTACCTTAAATTAGCATAAAAGCTAAATAGCAGCTGAAATGGCAAAAACAAAGTTGAAACTTGCAGAAATAAGTTAAGGAGCATAACAAAGCTGAAATTAGCAGAAATAATTTAGAAGAAGCACAAACATTTTGTAGTTAGCAGAAGGGAGCACAGAACAGCTGAAAAAACAGCTGAAAGTAGCTAAAAAATGTTTTAATTTGCACAAGGAAGCTGAACCAGAACAAAATGAAAGCAGTAAAAGGTTGTAAACGGATCTAAAGATTTGAAGGATGTAAATGGAAAAAAAAAAAAAGCAGAAAAGACAAAATATTTCAAAAAGCTAAAGTTGCACCAATTCATAGCAGAATTGTCCTGAAAGAGCTGAACGTTTTAATATGATTTGTTGAAATAGTTTTAAAACTGCGAGACGAGAATCGCGCCGAAAAACGTACGGAAGAAAAATGGATCACAATCGTGTGAATGCTTCATAAACATTCACACAATAAATCAGTTGTGCAAAATTCAGCTGTCAAAACACTTTATTAGACTTTGTCAAGTGCAAAAGCATGAGAAGTGCTACAACTACAGAATACAGACGAGATTTAAGCAAAACAAAAAGTTATGCAACGTAAAACAAAAGACGGAAGTCGGCTTTGGCGAGGAAGATATTTAAAGAGCCGAGCCTCCTGTGGTTCCTACGTGGAGAATAATCATGCTTTTAAATGTTGAATGAAAGAAAAGACTTTGGCTGTTTTGCATCTAGACCAGAAACGTAAAACTTTTGGGTTTGCAACACCAGTGCTTGACCTATTTGTATGTCGCTGTGCACAAAAATCACAAAAAGCTGAATTTTATACATCCCAAGGCCCAAATATATATAAAAATGTACAATGAAAAGCAAAGGTCTCATATTTTAACCTTGACAGGAAACAAACAAGCAGAATATTTAAAATCATTTCAGATTTTATAACAATGTGTGCAGAAAACAAAAATAAAAAGGGGACCTAAACATTTGAAACGTCCCCCCTCTTACATTGAAGCTTACTAGTACCAGTACTGTAACTTATTTTGTACCTAATTTTGGTTTTCCTGGGTTTCTTTCCAGGTTTTAAAGAAAAGGTGGGTTCCCTGAGATTTGCCAACTGGGACACGGGAAGTGCACAAGTTGATAAGACGCCAACGACACAAAAACAAATGCTTCAACGACATTAGTGATACGTACAGGGAAGGTCTTTTTAGCGTAGCAGTATTGATACATAAATATGGTCAGCATCAGCTTCTTTAGAGAATAAAGTGCAAGTACAAAATGTTTAAGATGCATAAATGAAGCTGAGAGCTTTGGCAACGCTGACGGTTAAAATACAGTTTGAGTGAAGCGTTAGGCTTAAGCTTATTACTTCACCTCGTTTGAAATCAACCTACATACATCAGAACAAAAGTGCTTTTTATAATAATAAAAAAGTTAAAACATGGGATTCAGTTTAGCTTCATGTTGGATGAAATGCATATAATCAGTCATGTTTAACCCTCCTGCTGCCCTTGGGTCAAAATGACCCATGAGGCACATGAACCTAGAGTTATTTAGACTCTAGGGCAGCAGGAGGGTTGAGTGAAATCAGATTTCCTCGATTCCACCTTTGTTCGTTGCCACTTTCTACACTACTTTTCTGTGTTCCTCTTTACATTTCCATCTATGAGCACCCTGAAGAAGTGGCTGCTGGAATCCCAACAGCAGAATATGTGCGAATACGTTTTCTCTTGTACCTCTGCAGGCTGAGGCATGCAACACGTTTCCACTTGCTGATATGTATCTACAGTGTTATATACAGGTGCATCACAAAACATTTGAATATCGTGAAAAAAAAAGTCCATTTTTTTGGTCGATCACTTCAGAAAGTGAAACTCATTTATTACAGAGTGAAATATGTCAAAACTCAAGAGCCGCGGGCCAAATCTGGTCCCCCCCAAGATGAAAATTTAAATGTAACACGTATCTCTTCTCATTTTTCTTTAAAAAAGACTAATAAATGAATCATTTAGTGTAGACTTCTCTTGCTAACATTGAAGCCAGAAAGAAGGCTGGATCATTCTATCATCATCATGATGTGGAAAGAGCAACCGAACGTCAAATGAAACGGATCAAACTCTTGTTGACGAACCTGCAACCAAGAAAACATGTCTGGTATCGGACTGGAGTTAAAGTATCAGCTGAAAGTGGCCCGTGGCTCGGACAAAGTTTTTAAATTTTGCCTCCTTTTGGTAACGGAGTTTGACACCACTAATTGTGATTTTGATAATTATGGCTTACAAATAATGACCAACCAACACCCAGGGTCTGTGAACATGTCCGAGATGCACCTGTATACGAGTATATGGTGCGTCTGCTGGAAACATTTTGGGTTTATACCAAACTAGGCTAAAACACAACTGACCAAAATATAAGATTGTAACAGTATGTAGACAACAGAAGCAAGAAATCAAACTTATTTTTTTAAATATACAAAAATATTAATTGCATTAGTCTGCTTTTAGTTCCTATTTGGTGAGCACGTTTTTGTGCTCCTGTCAGCAGTGTCACATGACCTCCAGGGTCACATGACAACGTGGGGAAGCTCCTGAACACCTAACTAGAAAACTTTTTGGTTTCACTGAGTTTATTTAACCAGCTTATATTGAACCTAGTGACCGGCACTAGAGCTGAGTTTGGGTTGTGGATGGACAACTGCTTATAAACGTCTCACTTCCTGTACTTTCTCCGGGTTTTAGAGCGGAGGACACGGGGACAAAACCAGCCGTCTCCGTCCTCCTCTCGTCCTTAACGCAACATTTTACTCCCACGATCTTCTGCCCCGCCTACGTTGGGTGCACCTTGTTTTTGAGGGGTGGGGGTTTCCGTTTCCTCTTGCGGGTGGGGATGGTGGTGGTGTGAGCCGGGTGGTTGAACAGACTTGTGGAGGGGAGGGTTTCTCGGTCTCTCTGCTTCTCCGTGATGGGCAAAGGGCCGTGGGCGGTTGGAGGTGCAGTGGGAGTCTTGGGTAAACGGGGAGTGTTTGTTGACGGTGCAGGCGCAGGAGCAGCGGGAGGTGTGCTGACTGGAGATTTGGGTGATGGCTGAGGGAGGGGGGAGGGATCCGAGGCAAGTTTAGGTTTTAAAAAGGGAACAGGTGTGGCGACAGGAGTTTTTTTAAGGTTGGCAGGAGTGCCACCATATTCTTTTAGAAGTTCATTTTTATCTGACTTTCTCCCCCTTGTGCCCCCGCTGTGCATTTCGTTTCCAGTAGTTTGTTCCTTGAAGTCCTTGTCCTCCCCCACCCCCTTCAGTCTAGCCTCGTTCCTCCCCTCCTGACCACCATCTTCCCTTTCTCTCCCTTTGTGCCTCCTTTTCCTCTGGACTCGCTCCAGTTTGCACTCGACGTGGTACAGATCCTCTGATGCCATGGTGACACGGTCAAGCTGTTGCAGCAAGGCGTCCAGGGTGGGGAGGAGCCTTCTCAGGGAGGCTTCCGTCTCTGCCCTCTCCCTCCAGCCAGTGCCCCCCAACACCACCGGGCCCAGCCCCAGCCCCAGCCCCAGCCCCACGCTGATCCCCGGGGCTTCTGTCAGGCTGCAAGGGCTGGAAGAGGATGGGCGCCACGAGGCCTCGGATCCCCAGTCAACACTGTCTGGGGTGGGCGGGGAGTCTGGACCGTCCAGTGGGGGCAAACGCAAAGACTTGCAGTCGCTGGTGGAGGATGACCGTGATGGAGGCAGCTCCATGCCCTCAAAGCGCACTTTGTGCCGGAACTGAAAACAGAAAGATTTCTCAGACGGAGAATTCAAGAACAAATTCCCATTTTCGCATTTCAACCTCCATTTTGTCCACGTTTGTATGCTCATGTAACTGTAGCGTTAGCAAAATATCGCAAACCAGTGAATGCATTTTAATAAAACTCCCAAAATGTATTTATTGGATTAGCTTTTGGAGTATTTTCAAGACGGCTGCCACAACTATGGTACTTTCGTAAACACAGAAATACTTATAACTCAGTCAGTTTTACAGATATTGAGCTAAATGTGGCGTGGTAGTAGCAGAGAGTCTTCCTAAACACATTCTCTTAGCCTTATCACATCTCACGAGATCTCACTATTTTGCATGCGATTATGCATTTACAAGGTTTGATCAAAACAGCCACAACTCTGTTCCTCCTAATCAAAAGTGGATTTTACTTTATTTAACTAAAGGTGGCAAGCGGTATGCAGTGCATCAAGGCATGTCAGGTCTTTCATTTTTAATCTAATCCCATCTGCTGTAGATGTTGAACAGGAAGGTCACCTCTTTGGTTCTGCTGAGCCCCATCCACATTTTGAGCCGTCGGACGAACAGCTCCACCATCTCGTAGTCTTGGAGATCCACAGCCGGGCAGTACAGCTCCGCTCGCGCTCGCCGATAGTTCCTCAACAACACGGAGATGAGCAGCCACAGGAACACCAGCCGAAGTACGGCAAAGCTCGTGTGGAACACCAACGAGAAGGCCGTGCTGGAGGGACCGGCCATCATGACGGCAGGACGCCACACCAACAGACCCCTCCCACCGGCGCCCAACAAGGAGCAACAGGCAGAGATCACACTGCTGTAACCGTCCAGCACCGAGTGGAAGAGCTGCAGAGGACAAAACAGAAATCGTACTCAACTCTGCCTTAAAGACAACAAGAAACAAACAGGAATGTCCAAACTTCACCCAGTTTAAAACACTGGTTCAAACACAAACGGTTGTGTTTCAATACACAGCTGTCCAGGCGTCACATTCGGTTTCAGCAACGAGACTAACTCTTTAGAATGAAGCAAGGTTAAAACGTTCCCTTTGGGGAATTTGACTACATCTACCAATAAATGCTTATTTAAAAGTTTGAAAACGATCTTTGAAAGCAAAGTCGGAGCAACAGTGCTGCTCTAATAATCCCAACAATGAAGGGTGTCTGTGTGAAAGTTTAGGTTCAGTGTTGAACAAGAACCTGACGTTATCCATGACCGACTTGGACAGGGTCATTAACTTGTCCTGCATGCACAAATGTGAGCCGTGCTGGCAGAATGAGTCCAAAATTGCAGAAACATGAGCTCATAAAGACACCATCTGGCAACCTCGGTAACTAAAATAACACACATTCTTCATAATCTACTTTTTAAATTGAAAATGTTCTCCTTCTGGATGTCGTTGCGCCGGGAAATCCCTTCATATGATGCATGTAAAGCTTTTTAAACATAGGACTAGAATTCCTGTTGACATAAAGCTAGACCAATTTTAAAAAAATCGTCACTCTCGTAAACTAAACTAACTTGTTGCCAGGCTAGGTGATGCATCACCAAATTTAGACAAACTGCAAATTTTTTTGACGCGTTTGAGATGGAGAGTTTGAAAATAATAACTCCGTTATGAAAAATTCCTCATTGTGACTCACTGTGATCTCTATGCTCACATCTGTAAGAAGACCTAAAAGACAAAGCGGAAACTGACCAGGTGTCCCGTGTGTGAGTAAACCAGCAGCAGCAGCAGAAGGCACAGGGACACTCCCAGGAGCTCCTGGCCTGAGCGCCGCAGAGCTCTACCAAACACCGCCCACTCCCGCAGAAACCGCAACTGGTGAGACACCTGCGTGATCCAGAGAGGAGCAAAGACACAGACAACAGAAAATCAATGGGTTTTAATAGGATGCACAATATTATCGGCATGGTTCCGGTATCGGCCGACATTAGCGATAAAGTTAAATATCGGACATCTGCCATTCCATCAAAATAACTGATATAAAAGGCACTGTTTATATATATTAAAAAATAATAAAAGGCACTGCTTTTGTATGACTGTTAGAGTGTTATTGTGTTAGAGAGAGTAAATGTCATGAATAAATTTGATGTTAAACATAATCCTAGTTGAAGTGTTGCATCATTTTCAGCCCCCTTTTTGGCATCTGCATTTGGTAGCAGGACAAACTGACAAAGACCGTGCAGAATAAATGTAGTATTTTAATTCCACAGCAGAGAAAACTGTGCAGTCTCTGTAAGTAGGTCTAGGGAAAAAAATATCTGTATCGGTTATCGGTCAAATAAGTTGTAACATATTGGATTAACGGTTATCGGCCAAAAATCCAATATCATGCATCCCTAGGTTTTAATGCCAATGTCATTTTTATTTATAAAGCACATTTAAAAACAACAATGTTGACCAAAGTGCTTCACAAACAGGAAATCTGTCAATAAAAGAAATGAAAGATCAAACATTAAAAAAACATAAGTATAATAAAATACGCTAAGAACAAATTAAAACAAGAAAATAACACCTAAGAGGCTCTGATGGAACTCAAACCAAACTTGAATTAAAAGCCAGTGCAAAAAAAGTGTTTTTAGGTAGGATTTAAAGGATTGTACAGACTGCTGAATGAATATCAATGGGCAGGGAGTTCCAGAGTCTGAGGGCTGCCACAGCAAAAGTCCGATCCCCTCTGCGTTTTAATTTTGCCCTCGGCTGCAATAAAAGCATCTGACTGTTGGATCTTAGTGCTCTGGGTTGTAAAAGTGCAAAAAAAAACAAACTGGGTGTCAAGCCATTTAAACTTTAAAATTCAGTCAAAGAATCTTAAAATCAATCGGAAAATGAACAGGCAGCCAGTGTAAATCGGCTACTTTTAGCTTTAGCTATGATTTAGCTCATTTTAGAATTTAATTATGGTTTTGCTATTTTTAGCTTTAAGCTATTGTTTCACAGATTTTAGCTTTTAGAAAGTGTTAGGCTGGCTTTAGCTATCACTTAGCTGATTTCACCTTTTAGCTATAGTTATGTATTTTAAAAGTTTGGCCAATTTTCTCATTTAAATAATATACATATATATACACACATATATATATATATATATACACACATATATATATATATATATATATATATATATATATATATATATATATATATATATATATATATATATTACATTTATTCATACATACAGTCTTGTTGGGACACAAGGATTCATTTTCAATAAAGACCTGGACTACTTTTCTTATTTTAGCTTTTAGCTTCCATTTAGCTAGTTTTTGTTTCAGTTCTGCTTAATTTAATTTTAACAATTCAATTTTAGTTTCGTCCACAAATTTCAGCAGAGTCATCCAGCTCTCATCTTCTACCTTGCATTGTAACAACACAAATGAGAAAGCTTTATTGTTTTCTGACTGATGAGACTGCAGGTTCTGATGGATCAGGTGTGGTTCGGTTCCTCTCTCTTACCTTGAGCACCAGGATGAAGAGAAGCAGCGCAGACATGACGGTGTACTGCTGGCTCTGCTTGGCCAGGGGGTGAAAGTCCGTGAAGTCGTCTCGAGGGTTCTTCAGGAACAACTCCCACTGACGTGTGGCTGTGACAGAGCGGCTCAGGTGAAGCCCGCACACAGACGCCGCCAGGCACAACTTGCAGATTCCCATGATTCTCCACACCGTCAGCAGGTACCTGAAGCCCCCTCTGATAAAACCCAAGACCCCTCGAACCAGGAAATACAACACCAAGCCGAGGAGGACGATCTGCAACACAGGGAACAACAAAAGTTCAAGAACATGGAAAAAAGTTTAGGTCTTCTTCATGGCATCAGAAGTTACCGTGAGAAGAAGTTGTAGATCCAGGCCTGTGATTGGCCACAGAGTGAAGACAATCAGCTCAAAGCTGGACTGAGCGCGCTCAGAAACTAGGAACTCAAACGAGAAGGAGACGACAGCCAGTAGGTTTGTGTTGACGTTGTAGAGGGAGAACTCCACGAAAACTACCCGAGTCCTACAAACACATCAGATTAAGATCCTTTAAATACATTTTACATCATACTTGCATCAGACGTTTAACTTCAGAAGAAATAAACAATCCCTGCAGAAAATGTTCAGTCTCTCTCGTTTGAATACATGCGGCCCTTTCAGGATGAAAGATGACTTTGTGCCATCGTCTCTTTGCAGAAACGACCGTGAGCCCACATTCTGAACAGCACTGGTTTTTCAACAAAGTTCAGTCAGGTCATCTGGATGGTTTCTTTTGATATTTATTATTTGCTGTGACGTTTCGTCCTTCATCCAAAGGACTTCTTCAGTCTGAGGAGCCACAAACAAACTGCAGTCCCAAAAGTACCAACTCCCATGGTGGAAAAAAAACAGTTTGCTGGTGATGGTTTCTGGGGCACACTCTCTCCCCTGTCAACTCCTCTACGGCAGCCATGCGAAAATGGTTCAAAACACCAAAGTTCATGCTCAATAATCCAGGTACAAAAAAAAGAAAAGAAAAAGAAATCACTGTAATGCCACTTTAATTGGTGATTATTAGTGTTTAGCGTATATCTTAGATCCATATATACGGTTTCTTTTTACACTTTATACTTTCGATGGTTGGATGTAACTGGGACCCTGTGTATATTTGTCCCACCTCATGTACTGCATGTGGTGAGAACGACAATAAACCAACTTGAACTTGAACAAATCCAACAATGTTCAGTCAGGTCATCTAGACGGTTTATTTTTTTCCTGAGACATTTCGTCCTTCATCCAATGGATTTCTTCAGCGTTTCTTTTTTATTGCTGAGGCACTTCATCTTTCGTCCAAAGGACTTCTTCAGTTGAAAAAAAAAAAAAGAAACAGTCCAGATGACTTGATTGAACATTGTTGGATTTGTGCCTGGATTATTGAGCATGAACTTTGGTGTTTTGAACCATTTTGGCATC